TCATCCACTGCACCGTGCCGCCCGGCGTGGACTCCTTCTACCTGGAGATCTTCGACGAGGTGCGGCGTCGGGCAGGCAGGCCCGGGACTGGGCATTGTGGTGCTGGCGACCCTGCCCCGGGGTCCCAGCAGCCGTGGGAGGACGTCATCGCCAGTGACGCACACGAGTGTTGGCGCATGTTCCCTCCGGCGCACGCCCTCGAGGCCCTGCCCCGACGAGCAGGCTGGGGGAAGTGGGTGGTCCCCTGGCGGGCAGGAGGGGGTTCTGGGTGGTGCGAGTGGCAGGCCGTCTACCCGGGTGTTCCTGGGAGTAGCAGAGGGTGCAGTGGGCTCTTCCGTGCCTGGTCCCATGGTCACTGCCTGGGAGCACCCTGTCTGTCCCCCCTGAGGCCAGCCAGGGTGCCCGCAGGTGAGAGCTCAGAGGGTGAGGGAGGTGGCCCCTCTGCCCCTGCCCTCCCTCTTCCCCTCCACTCCCTTGGGGGGGTGTGGTGAGCTCAAGGGCACCTCCTTTCCTGCATTTGTGCCCTGGGCTTCCAGCCTGGGGAGGAGTGGCCTTGAGTCTCCAGGCAGCTGAGGGTGGGGCAGGGCTTCAGGTGTGTGTCGGGGGGAGGGACAAAGGCAGTACTTGGCAGGTCTCAGGGCTCTCATGCTGGTTTCCCTGTGTCCCTCAGCGAGCCTTCTCCATGGACGATCGCATCGCCTGGACGCACATCACGCTGTCCGAGGCGCTGCGGCAGGGCGAGGTGGAGGACAAGTGGTACTGCCTGAGTGGACGGCAGGGCGACGACAAGGAGGGCATGATCAACCTGGTCATGTCCTACTCGGTAAGCGCCTGGGACGGGGCCGGGCAGGTGTCGGCCGGGCTGGCTCCTCGCGCCCCCGGTGGCCCATGGCAGCTGACCTGCAGCAACGAGTCTTTCTCCCTGAGCAGCTTGGCCACAGCCCGAGCGCAGGTCCCGGCGGCCACAGGAGCTGCCGCCCTCTCCGCCCCGCATTCTGCCTGGGAACTGCTGTGTGATGGCCAAGTCACGGGATCGAGGCCCATCTTTTTTAATTTTTATTTTTTGTTCCTATTTTGTGGCCCATCTTTCGAGGTGTGGCTTCCCTTACGCCGTAAGTCTTATGGCCTGCAGGGCCCCCCTGTGCAGTAGTGGGGTGTCTCAGGGCCGCACGGGGATGACGCCACTGGTGTCCTGGGGGCTCGGAGGCCGTGATGGGTCAAGGCAGGGTCAGGGCCTCTGGGTTCCTAACGTCTCCGTCTCTCCCGGGAGCTGCTCATGGGAACCTTTGCTGTGGAAACCCCAGCGGGCGGGGCAGGCGGGAGCAGGTGTGGGGCCCGAGTGGGTGCCTGCAGCTCAGCAGCCCTCACCTGAGTGCCAGCCCCTCCATTGGTGCCGGACGACTTTAGAGCCAGTCCCGCATCAGTACACCTTCACTCATAAGGGTTTCCTCCTGCACCTTTTTTATTTCTAATCCTCACCCAAGGCACGCTTAGAGAGGAAGGGAGAGAGAAATGTCGATTGGCTGCCTCCTCTCCTGCACACTCCCCGACTGGGAATCGAGCCTGCAACCCGGGCATGTGCCCTGATTGGGAATCGAACTGTGACCTCCTAGACGCTCAACCCTGAGCCACCCTGGCCAGGCACCCTTATGCATCTTTAACAGGTGCCTTTACAGAAACACCAAACCTCTCTTACACTGACTGAGGGGATTCACATCTTAGAGCAGCGGTTCTCAACCTGTGGGTCGCAACCCCTTTGGCGGTCGAACGACCCTTTCACAGGGGTGGCCTAAGACCATCCTGCATATCAGATATTTACATGACGATTCATAACAGTAGCAACATGACAGTTATGAAGTAGCAACGACAATAATGTTATGGTTGGGTCACAACATGAAGAACTGTATTTAAAGGGCCAGAAGGTTGAGAACCACTGTCTTAGAGACTCCCGTGAACTGTCCTGGTGCTGACCCGCAGCTCACACTTACATTTGTTCTGGAACCTGGTCTTCTTCGGTGACATCTCAGTTGGCCACGGTCCTGTAGGTCTGGCGGCATTTCTACCCGAGCCATTCATTCCCCGATCTTGAGCAGAGGAGCACTGGGGCGCTGGGGAGGGCGGGCGGCGGCCCTGAGCTGTCACTCCCAGGACGCGGTGGGTGGGGCTGCAAGTGAAGGGTTTGTGTGTGCTGGGGTCTGCTGTGACCCTGCGATCGCCTTGGTGTGTTGCAGTCCCTGCCGGCCACCATGATGATGCCGCCTCAGCCCGTGGTCCTGATGCCCACCGTGTACCAGCAGGGCGTCGGCTATGTGCCCATCACAGGTGAGCGCCTCTCTGGGTGGCTCCTGGGGGAGGTGTTAGGATAGGGGGGCGGGGACTGGGAGTGCGGCCTAGAGCCTTAGCCCGGTCTTGGAGTGAGGCGTGAGGATCGTTCCAGAAGCGAGGGCCAGGTGTTACACTTGGATCTTCTCTGCGTGTATAGGAAACGGAACTTTCTTTTTCCTTAGCTATTGGCACAAACAGGGTGAGTTGCAATTTGCGGGGATGCAGAAATGTAATTTCTGAACATTGCAGCGCATGCGTGGCCTCACAGACCACGCCCCTGTTGGGTGAGGTCAGCCGTGCTCTGGCAGCACTGGCCCTGTCTGTCCGTGGGGCTTTACCGCTCGTTATTGGCGAGCAGTTGTGGCATCACAGTGCCATCAAGTGGCGTCGCAGCTTTCCTGTCTTCGAATTTTAAAATCACAACTTGAGCTGTTGGTGAGCTCCCTTGTGGCAGCGACATACCTGGGCTCAGGCAGCGGCAGGCAGTGAGGATGGACCCAGAGAAGGGCAGTGGGCGAGCCCCAGTGTCTGCCGAGGTGCCGGGAGCTGGGTCCAAGCAGAGCGTGGCCGCCCCACTACGCCGAGGAGGCACGCCAGCGGTCAGCACCTGGGAGGGCACTGGAGAGGAGGCCGGGGTGCTGGTGGGGGTTGTTGGGTGAGAGCCCACCCCACCCCCGGGGGAGTTCCGCTTCCCTGGTCACGTCTGCAAAGGCCCGTTTCCCAGTGAGCCCCAGCCCGGCCCCCAGTGAGACCCAGCCCGGCCCCCAGTGAGACCCAGCGCGGCCCCCAGTGAGACCCAGCGCGGTCCGGGGGGGGAGAGCCTCACCCGTCCAGGGCTCCCACACAGTGGCCGGCACCACATGTGCCCGGAGGGGCGAGCTGCTTTCTGAGGAGGTGCATGTGTCGTGTCTGTGTGGCTCCATCCTGGGCTCTTTGCGAGGCCCTAAGATGCTGGCTTTAGGAAAGGGTAGGTTTCTTCACAGATGGAGACTCTCCTTTGACATCCTTCGGACGTTTTGAAACAACCACATGGGAACAGAAAAGCTGCGCTCCTCTCCCGTGTGCCTGGGGGTTCAGGATCACATTGCTTGGGTGCCCTTGCTAGTCGGCGCCTATGAGCCCTGGGGGAGGCCCTCAGAGCGCAGGCTGCTCTCTTGAGCCAGAGGTGGCCTCGGCACGGTCGACTGCCCGCCTACCTAATCCCCGTCTTGTGCTTGTAGGAATGCCCGCCGTGTGCAGCCCTGGCATGGTGCCCGTGGCCTTGCCCCCGGCGGCTGTGAGCGCCCCGCCCCGCTGTAACGAGGAGGACCTGAGGGCCATCCAGGACATGTTCCCCAACATGGACCGTGAGGTGATCCGCTCTGTGCTGGAGGCCCAGCGAGGGAACAAGGATGCGGCCGTCAACTCCCTGCTGCAGATGGGTGAGGAGTCCTAGACTCCCGCCACCTGCGCCCTCGCCGCCACGCCGCTCCAGCCCTTTGGACCTGCCACCGGGGCGCCCGAGCCCTGTCCCAACGAGATCCCTGTGTCCCCTCCTCAGTGTCCCGTCACCAGTCCGCCTGTTGGGGATGCAGGTGGGTTTGGGTTCCGGCAGCTGCTCTGGACTGCCAGCGGGGTGGCCGTGGGGGCCTCCCTCCTCCCTCTGTGGGGGTGAGCGGCACGTGGCCGTGTCCGTGTGCACACTCGCCTCTGCTGGGGACGCGCCAGTGCTCTGAGCTGCTCCTCCCGAGAGGGCCCTTGCGGGAGCAGCCTGCCTCACCAGGGCCGGGGAGGCCGAGGGCCCTTCTGGTTGGTTCCTGGCGCGTAGTCCGGCCACTTACGGGGATAGACCTCCTTCCTTAGGTTCGCAGTCCACTGACAGCTGCTTGGGGTTTAGAACTTGCCAACTGAAAACTCCCATCCCTCCCTCCGTGGGCTTCGTGGCCTGGCTGCTCCCCGGTGGCCTGGGCCAGTGTGGCTTGGCCAGGCCTTAGCCACGGTGTCAGCCTGACTGACCAGCCCGCCAGCCCCCGTCACAGCCCTCGCGGTGGCCGGAGGGGCTGTCCTAGCTCAGAGGATCCCTGGTCTCCGCCTGCTGTTCGTCAGCTCTGGGGAGTGCCATGCTGAGGGGCGGCTTCTCCTCTCCTTGACGGACTCTCGTACCAGAACCTGAACTTGGGGTAACAAGTCATAGACCTAGTGCTTCGCTAATGGGAGGGAGGGCGCTGGGACCTGCTGGCTCCCACTGACACTCATTTCAGTGAGCATGTGCCGGGTCCGAGGATGCGTGTGGAGGGTGGAGACAGTGCCAAAGTCCCCTGGAGCCCATGTGCGCGTGTGCGAGCTGCACCCTGGCCCGGTGTTGGCCGCGGCCACAGCGTGGGGACCGGGTGGGTGACGCCTAGTGAAACGAGGAGCTCCTCAGAAATGACGCACTCTAAGTCACACCCATGGGTTGAACGCGTGCGTCCTCGGGTGGGGGGGTGGGTTCGCAGTAAGCTGCAGTCACTGTCCTTTCTCTAGCCATTGCCTGGCCTGGGGCCTCAGCTCTTTCTGATTCAGGGTCGGGACCGTCCTGGCAGCTGGAGGGTGGTGGCTCGGCAGGAGAAAGAAGGGCTGTTAGGGCTCCTCCCTCCAACGTGCGGGCTGCACCCGAGGTGGCCTCCTTCAGGGCTGCGCGTGCTCGGGTGCACTGCTCACGCCTGTCCTGTGAGCCTGAGGGTGTGCCGCGGGGTGGCCAGGGCCTGGGGGGCTCGCACCACTTGCTTGGTGAGCGCGGCCTTGTGCCTCGAGGCCGACTCCTCAGCGTCGAAAGCGTTGGGCAGGCCTGCGGGCCTGGGGTTTGAGTGGTGGCCTGAGCGGGCCTGGCAGCTCCCCCTTCCAGGGAGGCATGTGGGACCCCTGGGAGCACTCGGCCCCGGCCCAGGGCAGACGCGCAGACCCTGCTCACGGCGGCCCAGTGTGCGGAGCGCGTAGTTTTTCGGGTGACCTGCACTTGCCGCACCTCCGCTTTGCTTCCCCAGGCGCGCTGCATTTTTAGTTGGTCAGAGCCCCCGTTTCACAAGGCCTGCCTTGTCAGAGCAGACCGGCCTCCACGGCTGCCCCAGGTCTGCCCACAGGGCCGCCCGCACCCACAGGAAGTGCCGTCCCTCAGGAGGCCCGGCCAGGCCGCCTGCAAACGGCAGGCCTTAGGCACTGCTGCTTCCTCCGGCCTCAGTCTGGCTGTGGGTGAGGAGGCTGGGCAGCCGAGTCTCCTGAAGGCCCCCTCCACAGCCGCCTCCGCAGCCCCCCCCCCCCGCCCCCGCCGCTGTGGGTGCCAGTGCGTCTCGGAGCCTGTGCTTGTCATTCTCCTGGGTCCAGCGCCCAGATTTCCTTTGATTGTAAAATATATTTTTACTTTTCAGCCTAATTTAATAAATGATCTATATGAGAGCAGAGCATTAAAGTCCTGCAGGGAAGTTTACACGTGTGTTCCTTAGTCTTTTTAACGCCTAACAGACTCGCTGCCGTGAACTAGTCCAGGACCATGTGGACGGTCGGCGGGTGGCTGGCTCACAACGTGACCCCAGACGTCACACCGAGCTCTGCTTCGGTAAGAGCTGCCGGAGGCACGGCTGCTCGGTGCTGACCAGGTCGGTGTGCGCGCACTCCTGGCTCTGACCGTGACCGCCTGCCTCGCTGGCAGGTCGTGTGATGGGGCTGGGCCCAGGGAGAACCTCCCGCCACCTTCCCTTTGCCTCCCAGGTGGCTGGCCTGCCCACGTGGAGATCATCTCGTGTCCTTCCTGCGAGAGGCCCACAGCCAGGGCGCCCTCTGCATCCTGGGCGCACAGATGGGCAGTTGCCTCCCCGCCAACCCCCCGTTTCCCACACACACACACACACACACACACGTGCAGTGCGCTCACAGCTCTGGGCAAGAGCAGGGGGAAGAAACACGTGACTGTGGCCTGAAGGAGAAGTGGTGGCAGCAGCCCCAGCCTGTGTGGCAGCTGCTTCCTGCGTGTGCCGCCTCCTGTCAGCTAGTCCCACTTGTCCCCCTCTGTGACCCCTGTCGTCATTAACCCCGTGCGTTGGGAATGATGTGAGGGTGTTTCTGAGCCCTTGGCCCACCCCTGGCTCCTGCCCCCAGAGGCCACTCAAGACTGACCCGGCCTCCATGCCCCTGTCCCTCCCAGGGTCCAGCACAAGCCCCGGGGGGGTGTGCAGCCTGTGGGGCCCCGACAGCCCAGCCACAGGACGGCGGGGAGCGAGGCCAGGACCAGGACGTGTACTTGATGCTCAGCATTTATTTGAAAAGTTGGGGCTGGTGAGCAGAGCAGGGCTGCAGGGCACTGACCCCCCCCCCCCCCTCTGGCCATCAGAGCCTCGGCCCCAGGTCCAGACACGGGCAGGCAGCACCCCCGATGCGGCTCCGGAGGCAGCGGGCTGGGGGGACCGCTGCCCGTGCGGGGTCTGCTGTGGAGGGGCCGCAGGAGTCCGTGCTCCATGGGGCTTGGCGGGCGGTGGGGTCCCAGGCTGTCCCTCTGACAGGAGGAAGGGGGGGGTCTGGGCCGAGTGGGTGCTCGTTGTAGATGAGAGCGGCCGCGATGGCAGGACAGGCGGCAGGTGGGCGGAGGGCCGTCCTGCCTAGTGCCCGCTTCGAGGTGACCTCTGCTGCTCTGTCCCTGTCCTGGCTGTGGGCTTCGCCAGGGCAGGTGGGGGGAGGGAGCGGGGGGCAGGCTGGGGTCAGACAGCGGTCAGACAGCAAAGCCTTGGCCAGGCTCAGGAGCGGTCGACGAGGGTGCGCAGGCCAGGTCGCACCTGCACTCGTCGATGTGGGTGTAGGTGTGCCGGACGGCCGTCCCGTCAGGGCACTGCAGGGTCACCGCCTCCTCGTGGGCCCTGATCTCCTGGCAGCAGGAGCAGCGGCGCTGCATGGCCTGGGCCTCCGGGGAGTACCTGCGGGCACACGGCCCTGAGACGGCGCCCTCGCCCAGCAGCCCTGTGCCTGTCTGAGGACGCGGGCTTCGCTGGCCGCGCCGGGGACAGCTCTGCGGGCATTCAGGGTCACTTTGACCCCCTACCTTCCTGCCAGGCACCCTTTCCCCTCGGAAACAGCTCCTCAAACTTGCTGACCCCACAGGCCCCTCCAGGAACCTGCCCTGGACCCTGCTCCCCGCCTCTCTGGCCGAGGCTCACAGCTGGCCGCAGCCCGCCGCTCGGCTCTACCCGCAGCTCCGCCCCGAGCCTGGCCCGAGGAGGACCCTGGGTCTGCCCACCCCCAGGTGGACACGGCGCCAGGCGCCTGGACACGGCGCCCGTCTCTGCCCAGCGTGTCCAGGCCTGGCTCTGCGGGTCGGAGGCCCCAGGCTTGTGCCAACGGATGTGGAGAGGGGCTCCTCGGGGCCCCCTTTCCTCCTGGGCCCTCCTGACCCAGCTCAGGGCGGCAAGCCCAGGCCAGGGCCACAGGGGGCCCTGGGAGGTGATGTGTGCTGGGGCGGGCTCTCTGCTTGCAGGTAGGAGTTCCCCTCGGTGGGCGGAGGCGGCTGGGGGTGCGGGGCCACTCACTTGGACACTCCTGGGCAGGAGCCCTCGCAGAAGGTGAGGTTGACGGGGGCCTGGCAGCCCTGGTGCTCCAGCACCGTCCTGTTGAGGCGGACCTGGCAGGAGTCTGCACAGAGGAAAGGCAGAGGTGGGGGTCCCTGAGGACCCAGACCGGCCGCTCCCTCCCAGGGGTCAGGGCAGGAGCCCATGGGCAGAGGTCGGAGGGAGCTGGAGGACAGGGGCAGAGGCGCCCCGACTTACCCACTTCCTCGCAGACGTAGCAGCAGCCGGTTTTCCTGAGGATGCCCTGCAAAGGGGGACAGAGGGAGGGCTGGGGGCGAGGCCAGGACGTAGGGGCGGGGCCTGTAGGAGGACGTGGCCTCCAGAAAGCGGCCTGGGCAGGATTTCCAGGGCACAGTGTGGGCGGGGCCGCCAGGGCAAGGCCCGAGGCCACCAGGCTGGCCAGATCCCCAGGGGCACACACCATGCAGCTGGACACGTCTGGGCAGGGCGTCGGCCTGAGGATCAGCACGGGGACCCCGTGCTCGGCCTGGCAGTGGTACTCGGTGCAGTTGTCCACCAGGCTGTTGATCCAGGTCTCATTGGGCTGAAACGCACAGAGGGGAGAGTCGGGTCGGGATTTTCTCACGGCCCAGAAGGCCTGGAGGGAGGGGCTGCTGGGTGAGGGCTGAGATCCCGCTTACCTGGACCAGCCCGCCGTCGGGCGTGAGGCAGGCCTTCTGCACGCACTCCCCACAGCACTGCCCGGCCACCGTCACATACTCGAAACCCTGGGGGCCAGAGGGTGGTCACGTCTGCACCCCCAGGCCTCCTGCCCCTCCACACCCCAAGGGCCTGGCAGCCCCATCAGCTGCCCCCACACTCTGAAATCATGGCCCGAGGGTAAAAGCTTGACCAGGCCTGGCTCTGAGGGTCAGGGTGCCCCCTGTCTTGCCTCAGCCTCACCCCTGCTTCCGGCCCCTCCCCTCTTCTGCCTGCCTGGAACCTGTCCCAGCGCCGCCCACCCTGTCGGCCACCATTTTCCTGCTCTGCACCCTCCCTTTGGGGAAGCGGCAAAGGCTGAGCTGGAGGACCCCCCTGGGGTCAGGTACCACTGACTTGAAGGTGCTGCGGTGCGGGGAGGGGGGCGCCAGGGCTCTGTCTGCCCGGGGCAGGCTCACCAGGGGACAGGTGGTGTTGCAGATGTCCTCTGCACACTGCACAGTGGGGCCCTGGGCGTCCTCGGACAGGCAGGTGCACGTGTGGCAGGGAGTGGCCGCTGGGAAGGTTGCACCGACCTGCAGGGGTAGGAGGAAGGGGGGGGTGACTGGGTGGCCCCTGTGCAGACCCTGCACGGGCAGCGGTCCCCCCAGCCCGCTGCCTCCGGAGCCACATCGGGGGTGCTGCCTGCCGGTGTCTGGACCTGGGGCCGAGGCTCTGATGGCCGGAGGGGGGGGGAGGGTCAGTGCCCTGAAGCCCTGCTCTGCTCACCAGCCCCAACTTTTCAAATAAATGCTGAGCATCACGTACACGTCCTGGTCCTGGCCTCGCTCCCCGCTGTCCTGTGGCTGGGCTGTCGGGGCCCCACAGGCTGCACCCCCCCCCCCCCGGGGTTGTCCGGCCCCATCACAGGACCCTGCCTGCGGCCAGGTGGGCTCGGAAAAGACGAGGCCCAGAGGGGTGGTTCTTTCTTCTTCAGATGGAATTATGGATGTGCCCCCCTCCGGCACCGACCAGGAGAGAAGCAGGACCCTGGGCAGGGCAGGGCCCGGCGTGGGCAGGCATCCCGGGCGGGCAGCAGGCGCTGGGAGGTGTGTGCTGCCCGAGGACCTTCCCCTTCCTGGGAGGAAGCTGCTGGGAGACCCTGAAGCTAAACTCTGCCTGGCCCGGGCACAGGCGCCTCTCCCAGGCCCCCCCCCCCCCCCCAGCTCTAAGTGGCCCCGAGCTGCTCCCTTCATCTGCTCTCATAGCGGGAGGGCAGACAGACTGGGCATTGGAGACGAAGCGTGGTGTCCAGAGGGGCCTGGGCGCCCCACAGTGGATGTACAGAGCCCTGCCACCCCCCCCTCCCCCGCCCCGGCCACAGAGCCTTACCCCATAGACAGTGCCGTTGTAGGTGCACAGCTTGGGCCCTGGAAGCAAAGGGAAGGCTGAGGGCCTGCCTGGCGGAGGGAGTGGGGGGTGGGGGGAGGCGGGGAGAGGACACTCCTGGCCCAAGCAACACCCAGAGCGCTCCCCCCGCCCCCCACTCACGGCAGCTGAAGGTTGTGCAGCAGCCGCCCTCCTCCTGGATGGGGGCGAGCTCCTCTCCTGGCCCACATGCCGGGGTGCTCTGGGGGCAGCTGGTCGTGTTGCAGACTGCGGAGAGGCGGAGAGGCGGGTGCTGTCGGGGGGACCTCGCCCTCCCTACCCAACTAGTTCCCAGTGTAACGGGGTTCCCCATGTTGGAGCCAAGGAAGTACTTGTCCAGGGGGCTGACCATTCAATGTGGCCCTTCTGGGTTCCCCCTCCCTGATCCTGCCCCAGGGCCTGGGCAGACCGCAGTCACCAGCTTCATTTTTAGGGGAAAATGAAGCCCCCAGAGGCCGCCCCAGCGCAGGGGTCCAGCCAGGACACCGTGGCCACAGTGGCCTCTGCGCTGCAGGCCCTGCCGGCTGGTGTCTGTGCCCTGCGCCCTCCTCTCGGGCCCCCACCCGCCGTCCCACAGGGCAGGGCTCACCACACAGCGTCTCCTGGCAGCACGGGTTGTCCGCCAGGGGCCTGGTCACGGCCACGAAGCCAGTCTGGCCGCACTCGCGGGGCAGTTCCCGGGCATCACACTGCACGGGCACGCACTGCACCGACACGGAGCCCACGTCGCACACGCAGGCCTGGCAGTTGCTGACCCATCGCTCTCCAGGCTGCAACAGACCAGGTCAGGGACCCTGAGGACTCAGGCCCAGCCTCAGCGCGGCCAGGGCGGCCCTCGCCCCCAGCCCCATCTCCGAGCAGCCCTGCAACAGGGACGCATGCACACCCAGGCGCCCACACCAGCCCTGGCAGAGCGCCCGCCCGCCCAAGCTGAGGTGAGTGAGGTGGGGCCGGCTGGGGGCAGAACCACTCACAAATTTGGGGAACCCATCTGGTCCCACGCAGGCTGGAAGAGAAGGAGAAGGGGGGTCACGGGGGGTCCTGGGGTTCACAGCCGGTGGCAGAGGCCACAGGCCACAGGGACAGGTCCTCCCGGGCCTGGCCACTCCCCAGCCTCTGTCGTCCCCCTGGGAACGGAAGCCCCGGGGAACCAAGGGCTCCAGGCCGCGTGGCTGCCGGCAGACGGGCTGGCGCTGGGCTGAGGCTGCCATTGACATCGAGGCGGGACGGGCCCAGCACAGGCCTGGGACAGGGACGTCTGGCCTGTGCCTCCCCCCGACCGCCTCACCAGGACGGGGTCAGGGGCCGGGGCCGGGGTGTGCTTACGGCACTCGGGCACACAGACATCCGTGTGGGAGTTGAAGAGGGTCTGTCCGTCGGGGCAGAAGCAGCCCTCCGCCAGCCCCGTGCTCTCCGGGCTCTGGGTCCTGTGAGGGGAGGAGGCAGTCCTGGGCCCTGCACCCCTGTGGACGGGCATCCACGGGGAGGGGGAGCCGCGGGCTTGGATGGGGTTGGTCAGTTGCCCTGGACGTCCCCTGGGGCCAAAGTGGGAGGTCCGGTGGGGGAAGGGCACCCAGAGATCCTGGCCCTCCTGGCTGGGCCCAGACCCTCGGCAGCCTGGCCGGCGCTCACCTGAAGTCGCAGGACGCGGGCTGCACTGGGCCGCACGGCTTGTACACCTTCTCGGGTGGGCAGGGGAGCTCTGGGGGCAGAGACAGTGTCAGGTGGGCCGAGGAGGCCAGGGCCCCCCCGCGGCCGCCCCCAACTCACCGCACAACCCGCCGGTGGCGTTTCGCCAGTCGCTGCAGGCGCCCCGGGCACGGCAGAGCGCCGCGTAGGCCTCCAGGCTCTGGCAGGGCACCCCGGGGTGGCCGGCCTGGCAGGCGTCCTGGACGCAGGCGCTGAAGAACAGGCCGGGCGGGATGAGGTTGTGGCACTCGGCGAAGAGGCTGCGGCAGGGGCAGGGCAGGGTAGCCAGAGGTCAGAGGTCGGAGCAGAGCTGGGTCCCGCCCCGACGGGGTCACTGCCCCAGGGTGACCATGCCCTCAGGAGGGACTCACTGGCTCAGCATCAGCTCGCAGAGGGGCGCTGGGGGGCATGGGGTGGAGGTGGGCTTGGTGGGTGCCGGGGATGGGGGGCTGGTGGTCGCGGGCGGGCCTGTGGGTGCCCAGCAGCCTTCCTTGTTGGTCTCGGGGACCAGCCAGGCGCTGGCCATGTCCTGGCAGGTGGGGGCGATGGTGCCGTCAGGCAGGCGGCAGTCGTCCGTCTTGCTGTTGGTGCAGGTGCCTGGGGCAGGGCCGGGAGGTTCATCGCGGGGCGGCCTTCCCCCCCACCTCCCGGGGCCACTCGGTTGGTTGCTGAGTGAGAGGCAGCTCTGGCCTGGGGCAGGCGGCGGGGGGTGGGGGGGGGTGGCAAATCTGGGGGGTGGAGATGCCACCTGGGGGCCCTGGGCAGGACGCGGAGGGAGGGGCGGGTGGCGCCCTGCAGGGCCCGCGTGTCCCGCTCACCGCACTGGCCCTCGGTGTTGTGGCTGAAGTGGCTGTAGGACAGCTGGACTTGGAAGACCTGCCCGTCGAAGGTGATGCTGGCCCCGACGGCTGGGATGTCCACACGCATCGTGGTGCTCGCCGTCATGGACACGCTCACGCCGTCCTTGCTGAAGCCCTGGCTCACCCGCACGTGGTCGAACAGGATCTGGGGGGCGCAGTGCGGACCGTCACCGGGGGTCCGGGCCCATCCCCTCAGCCCACCAGGTGCAGGGGCTCCCCTCAGGCGGGGTCCTGCCCACCGTGCCCGCCCGCACGCACCAGGCCCTCCTCCTGCCCGCTGGCTGCAGTCTCGGTGGTGAGGACGACCTCTGAGGACTCATAGCGGATGCTGAGGGCGCGCGGGCAGCTGGCGGAGGCCGCGGCCCCGCAGTGGTGGTTGTCCAGGAGGATGGTGAGGTTCCCGTGCCGGGGCCAGATCTCTCTCATGAGCACGTGCGTGCAGTTGTCCCGGAAGGAGTAGGGGGTGCCGTCGAAGGTGATGTAGTGGGAGTCCCCCCAGCTGCTGCAGGAGCCTGCGGACGCACACAGTCCCTCACCCAGTGCCACATGCACGGCCGCCTCGGCGTGTCCTCACCCCGGCCTCTGCGCCCCTGGTGAAACGGGCGAGTGGGCCCTGGAGGCCCTAGGAAGGGACCTGCCGCTCAGCTGCGGATGGGACCTCCTGGGGCACCCGGGGGCCCTCCGCCTAGTGGTGAGTGCCCTCCCAGGGGCCAGGGAGGGGAGGGGAGGGGAGGTGCCGCCTGAAGGCAGGGCAGCGACGGTGAGAGGCCAGGGCCCGGACAGGACGGGGAAGAGACAGGAAGGACCTTCCCTGGAGATGCAGGGAGGAGCGGTCTTGGGGATGGGACAATCCCTCCCGCTGCTGGGGAGCCTCTGTCTGTGGTCCCTCCTGGGGCAGCCCCGCGAAAGGCGCTCAGGACCCTGGGAGGCGGGCCCTCGAGCCCCTTTTCGGCCCCCAGCACACCCGGCGGCCCCTTGTGTGCCAGTCAGCACTGCCCCGCCCCGCCCCGCCCGGCCCGGGCCTCACATTCGCACTCGTAGTGGAACTGGCAGGGCTCCTGCGGGCTCTGCACCTTGACCGGCAGGTGTCCGTTCACACAGGAGACCTGGGCCACGGGCTGTGGCTCCAGCAGGACGATGTGGTTGTCGCCCTCGCACCGCGCCACCGTGCAGTCCTCCAGCGTCCAGGTCTCATTCACCTGTGGGCAGCAGGCACGGCTCGGCCACCTGCCACGGCCTCGGGAGCCCAGCCCCAGGCCCCCGCCTCCCTCCCAACAGGGCGCCCCCTGGAGGGGTCACCCCGGGGCTGGGGCCCGCCCCACGGGAGCCAGCGGCAGCCCCTGACCGCGTGCACAGGACAGCAGGCAAGGCGGGGAGGAAGGGCACGCACCTGGCGGGGAGGGTCCACAAGGTCACAGCCAGGAGATGGAAAGGTCAGGGGCACCCAGGTCGCCGTCAGGAGCTCCTGGGGCGAGGAGGTGGGGCAGGCGCCCTGGAAGCGGTCGAGCTCGCAGTGCTGGTTGCAGATGGCGTAGAAGTGGCAGCCAGCCTTGTCGGTCCTGTTGTAGACGACGTCCCCTGGGGGGGAGGGGGGAATCGAGAAGATCGGACACGCCCGTCAGCCAGCGTGGCCTCCACAGCACCTGCCAATGGGCGGGGCAGAGACCCCGGAATGGGGTGCCGGGTGGACTATCCTCGGGCGGGGACAGTGCTCCACACACCTGGTGAGAACAGCTGTCCAAACGCCCGGCACCGGCAGGGTGTGGTAGAGACGGGTGGGCTGGGTGAGGCGCTGGGCTCAGGGGTGCTGGGGAGCCACGGGGACATGGTGGTCTCCGGGGCTGAGGACGGGCAGTGGCTGTCACAGCAGAGCAGACGCACGTGGTAGTTGAGGCACATCCTGAAGCGGCCGCCCTGGTCGCGGTTGCGGCACACCAGCCCGAAGCGCACGTCGCACTGCACCACCTGGCCCACGTCCTCCAGGCTCGCGTCCGGCAACTTCTCTGCTCGGCACTCGATGTCCTGAGGCTGCTCGCAGAAGCTGTGGCCGGCAGCGCGGAGGACAGAGAGGGTCTCAAAGTCCCCGCCGTCGGGAACCGGGGTGGGGTAGTCCTCGTCGAGCCAGTCTGTCCACGTGCACCGTGGCGTGCAGGCCCCACGGGTCGTGGAGGTCATGGAGGTCGTGGATGTCGGGGTCGGCCTCAGGGAGCTGGTGGGCAGGGAGGTCCCAAAGATGGGACTGGAGGACGGGGTCCCAGGGGTGGTCTGAATGGGGGAGGTGGCCACGTGGGGGGCACTGGGCGAGGCTGGCTTGGCAGTTGTGGTCAGGGTCCCTGTGGAGGCAGAGGGACTTGGGACAGAGCGCCACTGGGTGGTCCTGAGGGAGGTGCGAGCCGTCTGGGTGGCCGGGACACTCTCTGTGATCCTGGGGGACGAGTGGGGTGACAGGGTGGTGGCCGTGGTGCTGACCTCGGTGGGCCCGGAAGTCCGCTGGCCCGTGCTGGTGGGCGTGGCCGTGCTGGTGGGCATGGCCGTGCTGGGGCAGTGGCTGTAGTCGTCACAGCAGAGCACGCGGATCTGGTAGTTGAAACACATCTTGAAGCGGCCGCCCTGGTCGCGGTTGCGGCACACCAGGCCCTCCTCCAGCTGGCACTGCACCACCTGGCCCAGCTGCTCCAGGGGCACGTCGGGCAGCCTCTCGGCCCGGCACTCCAGGCCCTCGGGCCGCGCGCAGACGGGCCTGCCGGCTGCCTGCATGTTGGCGTAGGTCTCAAAGTCCCCTCCGGAGGCGCCGGGCATGGGGTAGCTCTGGTCCAGCCAGTCGGTCCAGGCACAGCGAGGCTGACAGGCAGTGGGCGTGGCCACGGAGGTCGTGGTGCTGGAGGTCGTGATGGACGAGGTGGGAGCCTTAATCGCAGAGCCTGTAGCCGTGGGGACGGCTGTAGAAGGGCCCGGGGTGGTGCCCTGCAGGGAGCTGGTGGTCACGGGAATGGGGGTCGATGGGGAGGGTCTGGTGCTGGCCCCTGGGCTTGAGGTGGCCCTGGTGGTGCTGGTCACAGTGCTGGTGCGTCCAGACAGGGTCTTCCAGGGCCTGGTGGTGGGCTCACTGGCCGGGGAGGTGCCGCTGGAGGCAGTGGAGGGCCCCACAAGGGTGGTGGCCCTGGTGGTGGGCGTCACCGGGGTGAGGGTGCCCCCTGAAGACGGGGAGGGGACCACCGTGGTGCCGGGCGTGGAGGGGCAGTGGCTGTAGTCACAGCAGAGCAGACGCACGTGGTAGTTGAGGCACATCCTGAAGCGGCCGCCCTGGTCGCGGTTGCGGCACACCAGCCCGAAGCGCACGTCGCACTGCACCACCTGGCCCACGTCCTCCAGGCTCGCGTCCGGCAACTTCTCTGCTCGGCACTCGATGTCCTGAGGTTGCTCGCAGAAGCTGTGGCCGGCAGCGCGGAGGACAGAGAGGGTCTCAAAGTCCCCGCCATCGTGTCCGGGCGTGGGATAGTCAGCGTCATACCAGTCAGTCCACAGGCACCGTGGCGTGCAGGTCACAGAGGTCATGGAGGCCATGGAGGTCGTGGAGGTCATGGAGGTCATGGAGGTCATGGTCGGCTTCAGGGAGCTGGTGTGCAGGGTGGTCCCAGGGGTGGAACTGGAGGACGGGGTCCCAGGAGTGGTCTGAATGGGGGAGGTGGCCACGTGGGGGGCACTGGGCGAGGCTGGCTTGGCAGTTGTGGTCAGGGTCCCTGTGGAGGCAGAGGGACTTGGGACAGAGCGCCACTGGGTGGTCCTGAGGGAGGTGCGAGCCGTCTGGGTGGCCGGGACACTCTCTGTGATCCTGGGGGACGAGTGGGGTGACATGGTGGTGGCTGTGGTGCTGACCTCGGTGGGCCCGGAAGTCCGCTGGCCCGTGCTGGTGGGCATGGCTGTGCTGGTGGGCATGGCCGTGCTGGTGGGCGTGGCCGTGCTGGTGGGCGTGGCCGTGCTGGTGGGCATGGCCGTGCTGGGGCAGTGGCTGTAGTCGTCACAACAGAGCACGCGGATCTGGTAGTTGAAACACATCTTGAAGCGGCCGCCCTGGTCGCGGTTGCGGCACACCAGGCCCTCCTCCAGCTGGCACTGCACCACCTGGCCCAGCTGCTCCAGGGGCACGTCGGGCAGCCTCTCGGCCCGGCACTCCAGGCCCTCGGGCCGCGCGCAGACGGGCCTGCCGGCTGCCTGCATGTTGGCGTATGTCTCAAAGTCCCCTCCGGAGGCGCCGGGCATGGGGTAGCTCTGGTCCAGCCAGTCGGTCCAGGCACAGCGAGGCTGACAGGCAGTGGGCGTGGCCACAGAGGTCGTGGTGCTGGAGGTCGTGATGGACGAGGTGGGAGCCTTAATCGCAGAGCCTGTAGCCGTGGGGACGGCTGTAGAAGGGCCCGGGGTGGTGCCCGGCAGGGAGCTGGTGGTCACGGGAATGGGGGTCGATGGGGAGGGTCTGGTGCTGGCCCCTGGGCTTGAGGTGGCCCTGGTGGTGCTGGTCACAGTGCTGGTGCGTCCAGACAGGGTCTTCCAGGGCCTGGTGGTGGGCTCACTGGCCGGGGAGGTGCCGCTGGAGGCAGTGGAGGGCCCCACAAGGGTGGTGGCCCTGGTGGTGGGCGTCACCGGGGTGAGGGTGCCTCCTGAAGACGGGGAGGGGACCACCGTGGTGCCGGGCGTGGAGGGGCAGTGGCTGTAGTCACAGCAGAGCAGACGCACGTGGTAGTTGAGGCACATCCTGAAGCGGCCGCCCTGGTCGCGGTTGCGGCACACCAGCCCGAAGCGCACGTCGCACTGCACCACCTGGCCCACGTCCTCCAGGCTCGCGTCCGGCAACTTCTCTGCTCGGCACTCGATGTCCTGAGGCTGCTCGCAGAAGCTGTGGCCGGCAGCGCGGAGGACAGAGAGGGTCTCAAAGTCCCCGCCGTCGGGAACCGGGGTGGGGTAGTCCTCGTCGAGCCAGTCTGTCCACGTGCACCGTGGCGTGCAGGCCCCACGGGTCGTGGAGGTCATGGAGGTCGTGGATGTCGGGGTCGGCCTCAGGGAGCTGGTGGGCAGGGAGGTCCCAAAGATGGAACTGGAGGATGGGGTCCCAGGGGTGGTCTGAATGGGGGAGGTGGCCACGTGGGGGGCACTGGGCGAGGCTGGCTTGGCAGTTGTGGTCAGGGTCCCTGTGGAGGCAGAGGGACTTGGGACAGAGCGCCACTGGGTGGTCCTGAGGGAGGTGCGAGCCGTCTGGGTGGCCGGGACACTCTCTGTGATCCTGGGGGACGAGTGGGGTGACAGGGTGGTGGCCGTGGTGCTGACCTCGGTGGGCCCGGAAGTCCGCTGGCCCGTGCTGGTGGGCGTGGCCGTGCTGGTGGGCATGGCCGTGCTGGGGCAGTGGCTGTAGTCGTCACAGCAGAGCACGCGGATCTGGTAGTTGAAACACATCTTGAAGCGGCCGCCCTGGTCGCGGTTGCGGCACACCAGGCCCTCCTCCAGCTGGCACTGCACCACCTGGCCCAGCTGCTCCAGGGGCACGTCGGGCAGCCTCTCGGCCCGGCACTCCAGGCCCTCGGGCCGCGCGCAGACGGGCCTGCCGGCTGCCTGCATGTTGGCGTATGTCTCAAAGTCCCCTCCGGAGGCGCCGGGCATGGGGTAGCTCTGGTCCAGCCAGTCGGTCCAGGCACAGCGAGGCTGACAGGCAGTGGGCGTGGCCACAGAGGTCGTGGTGCTGGAGGTCGTGATGGACGAGGTGGGAGCCTTAATCGCAGAGCCTGTAGCTGTGGGGACGGCTGTAGAAGGGCCCGGGGTGGTGCCCGGCAGGGAGCTGGTGGACACGGGAATGGGGGTCGATGGGGAGGGTCTGGTGCTGGCCCCTGGGCTGGAGGTGGCCCTGGTGGTGCTGGTCACAGTGCTGGTGCGTCCAGACAGGGTCTTCCAGGGCCTGGTGGTGGGCTCACTGGCCGGGGAGGTGCCGCTGGAGGCAGTGGAGGGCCCCACAAGGGTGGTGGCCCTCGTGGTGGGCGTCACCGGGGTGAGGGTGCCTCCTGAAGACGGGGAGGGGACCACCGTGGTGCCGGGCGTGGAGGGGCAGTGGCTGTAGTCACAGCAGAGCAGATGCACGTGGTAGTTGAGGCACATCCTGAAGCGGCCGCCCTGGTCGCGGTTGCGGCACACCAGCCCGAAGCGCACGTCGCACTGCACCACCTGGCCCACGTCCTCCAGGCTCGCGTCCGGCAACTTCTCTGCTCGGCACTCGATGTCCTGAGGCTGCTCGCAGAAGCTGTGGCCGGCAGCGCGGAGGACAGAGAGGGTCTCAAAGTCCCCGCCGTCGGGAACCGGGGTGGGGTAGTCCTCGTCGAGCCAGTCTGTCCACGTGCACCGTGGCGTGCAGGCCCCACGGGTCGTGGAGGTCATGGAGGTCGTGGATGTCGGGGTCGGCCTCAGGGAGCTGGTGGGCAGGGAGGTCCCAAAGATGGAACTGGAGGATGGGGTCCCAGGGGTGGTCTGAATGGGGGAGGTGGCCACGTGGGGGGCACTGGGCGAGGCTGGCTTGGCAGTTGTGGTCAGGGTCCCTGTGGAGGCAGAGGGACTTGGGACAGAGCGCCACTGGGTGGTCCTGAGGGAGGTGCGAGCCGTCTGGGTGGCCGGGACACTCTCTGTGATCCTGGGGGACGAGTGGGGTGACAGGGTGGTGGCCGTGGTGCTGACCTCGGTGGGCCCGGAAGTCCGCTGGCCCGTACTGGTGGGCATGGCTGTGCTGGTGGGCATGGCCGTGCTGGGGCAGTGGCTGTAGTCGTCACAACAGAGCACGCGGATCTGGTAGTTGAAGCACATCTTGAAGCGGCCGCCCTGGTCGCGGTTGCGGCACACCAGGCCCTCCTCCAGCTGGCACTGCACCACCTGGCCCAGCTGCTCCAGGGGCACGTCGGGCAGCCTCTGGGCCCGACACTCCAGGCCCTCGGGCCGCGCGCAGACGGGCCTGCCGGCTGCCTGCATGTTGGCGTAGGTCTCAAAGTCCCCTCCGGAGGCGCCGGGCATGGGGTAGCTCTGGTCCAGCCAGTCGGTCCAGGCACAGCGAGGCTGACAGGCAGTGGGCGTGGCCACGGAGGTCGTGGTGCTGGAGGTCGTGATGGACGAGGTGGGAGCCTTAATCGCAGAGCCTGTAGCCGTGGGGACGGCTGTAGAAGGGCCCGGGGTGGTGCCCTGCAGGGAGCTGGTGGTCACGGGAATGGGGGTCGATGGGGAGGGTCTGGTGCTGGCCCCTGGGCTTGAGGTGGCCCTGGTGGTGCTGGTCACAGTGCTGGTGCGTCCAGACAGGGTCTCCCAGGGCCTGGTGGTGGGCTCACTGGCCGGGGAGGTGCCGCTGGAGGCCGTGGAGGGCCTCACAAGGGTGGTGGCCCTGGTGGTGGGCCTCACTGGGGTGAGGGTGCCCCCTGAAGACGGGGAGGCGACCGCCGTGGTGCCGGGTGTGGAGTGGCAGTGGCTGTAGTCATCGCAGCAGTGCACGCGGATGTGGTAGTTGAGGCAGGACTCGCCCGCCCGCTGCCGACTGTTCCTGCAGATGAAGCCATACTCACGGGCGCACTGTACCACCTGGCCCAGCGCCTCCAGGGGCACCCCTGGCGACAGGACGGCCTCGCACTGGATGGCGTCCGGCTCCTCGCAGAGCTGCCCGCCCGCCTGCCTGATGTGGTAGTAGGTCTCAATGTCGCCCCCATAGCGGCCAGGCAGGGGCTGGTCTGTGTCCAGCCAGTCGGTCCAGCGGCATGTCGGCTGGCAGCTGGTCGTCGCTGTGGTTCGGGCTGTGTGGGGGATGGTAGGACTGGAGGCTGTTGGGGAGAGCGGCCTCGGGCTGGGCCCCGGGAGAGTCACTGTGGTGGTGGCCGGGGTGCTGGGGCAGTGGCGGTAGTCGTCACAGCAGAGCACGCGGACTTGGTAGTTGAGGCACACCTTGAACCAGCTGTCCTGGTCGCGGTTGCGGCACACCAGGCCCTCCTCCAGCCGGCACCGCACCACCTGGCCCAGCTGCCGCAGGGGCACGTCGGGTAGCGACGAGGCCCGGCACTCCAGGTCCAGGGGCCGCTCGCAGAGGAGCCCGCCCGCCTCCCGGATGTTGGTGTAGGTCTCAAAGTCGCCGCCATTGGGGCCCAGAGAGGGATAGTCCACGTCGAACCAGTCTGTCCACGTGCACTGTGGCGTGCAGGGCCCCGAGGTCGGGGACATTGGTGTGGGTGAGACGGAGCTGGGCTTCCAGGAGCTGGAGGGCAGGGTGGTCCCCAAGGAGGGGCTGGTGGCCAAGGACTCAGGTGTGGTCTGTATGGGGGAGGTGGCCAGGGTGGCTGTGTGGGGGGCACTGGACGAGGCAGGCCCGGCCGTCGTGGTCAGGCCCCAGGTGGACGGCACGGGCGGGGGAGCGGTGGAGGTGGGGCAGCGGCCGGCGCCGTCGCAGCAGAGCACACGGACGTTGTAGTTGAAGCACATGGTGAACGGCCCCCTCTGGTCCCGGTTCCTGCAGACCAGCCCGGCCTGCAGGCTGCAGCTCACCACCTGCCCGATCTGGTCCAGGCTCACCTCCGGGTAGTTCTCTGCCCGGCACTCAATCTTCCGCGGCTCCCGGCACATCTTGCCGCCAGCGGCCCTGATGTTGTCGTAGGTCTCCATGTCTCCGCCCGTGACCCCCGAGGTGGGGAAGTCCACGTCAAACCATTCTGTCCACTCGCACTTGGGCTCGCAGCCAGTCGTGCCCTGGCTGCTGGTGGCTTCAGTGGTGGCAGTGGCAGTGGCAGTGGAGGTGGTGGTGGCTGTGGCTGTGGTGGTGGGGGCGGTGGCAGTGGAAGTGGAGATGGCTGTGGTGGTGGGGGCAGGGGTGGCAGTGGAGGTGGAGGTGGTGGTGGTGGTGGCTTCAGTGGTGGCAGTGTCAGTGGAGGTGGTGGTGGCTGTGGTGGTGGGGGCAGTGGAGGAGGTAGTGGCTGTGGCTGTGGTGGCACTGGTGGTGGCAGGGGTGGCAGTGGAGGTGGAGGTGGTGGCTGTGGTGGAGGTGGTAGTGGAGGAGGTAGTGGCTATGACGGTGGTGGCACTGGTGGTGGCAGGGGTGGCAGTGGAGGTGGTGGTGGCTGTGGCTATGGTGGCGGTGGCAGGGGTGGCAGTGGAGGTGGTGGTGGCTGTGGCCATGGTGGCGCTGGCGGTGGCAGGGGTAGCAGTGGAGGTGGTGGTGGCGATGGAGGTGGAGGTGGCTGTGGCGGCACTGGCGGTGGCAGGGGTGGGCTCCCCGCAGTGGCTGTGGCTGCAGCACAGCAGACGGATCCGGTAGTTGTAGCACATCTTGAATAGGCCCATCTGCTCGTCATTCCTGCAGACCAGGCCGAAGCTGGGGTCGCAGTGCACGAGCTGCCCCAGCTCCTCGGGCCTCCTGTCCGGGAAGTTCACCGCCCGGCACTCTATGTCCTGCGGCCGCTCGCACACGTCGCCCCCCGCGCTCCTGATCCTGTCGTATGACTCGATGTCGCCCCCAGCCTCCTCGGACTTGGGGTAATCCTCATCGAACCACTCCGTCCACTGACAGCGGGGCTGGCAGGTGGTGCCGGGGACCTCGGAGCCGCTTGTCACCCGGGTCTGTGTCGTCGGTGAGGTCAGGGCTGTGGTCGCCTGGACGGGGGAGGTGGGCCGGGGCAGGAGGGTCGGCTTCTGGCTGGTGCCGCAGGGCACGTAGTCGCAGCAGAGCACCCGCAGCTCATAGTTGTGGCAGAGCGGAGGGTCCTGCTCGCTGTTGAGGCACCTGAGCCCGAGCCGGGGGCTGCACTCCACCTTCTGGCCCAGCTGCTCCAGGGGCGTGTCTGGAAGCAGCTGTGCACGGCACTCGACTCCGGCTGGCGCCGGGCAGACCTGGTGACCCCTCTGCCTCAGGTTTGCAAATGTCTCGAAGTCCCCACCTCCCATGCCCGGCTCCGGGCGGCCGCTGTCGTACCAGGCAGACCAGTGGCACAGCTCTTGCACGCACACGGTGGAGAGCGTGGGGACCGGACCTGTGGGGAGGGGGCGTCCTTGTTAGCCACGCCCAGGAGGAGGGTGGCGGGTCCCGGGCCCTCGGGTCTCGGCGGGATCCTGGGCCATCCCTCGCGCCCAGGACTCGGCACCGAGCGCCTGCTGGGTCTTCCCTCCTGGCCCGGACGGCGGCTTCCTTCCCAGGTCAGCTCACCTGTCGTGGAGGGCGGAGCCGCCGTCGAGGTGAAGGTGAAAGGCGTGGTGGACGGCGTGACGCGACATTCCACGGTCGTCCGCGTGATGGTCCCGTTGCTCCCGCAGACAGCCACCAAGCAGGCACCCAGCCCGTCGGTCGTGTTGTAGACGACGTCCTCGTAGCTGTAGGTCCTGCCCTCGTACGTGCACGTGCAGGCTGCACGACGCGGCAGGTGCAGCGCTCAGCGCTCAGCGGGAGCCCCAGCCCCCGCCCCCAGCCCCTAACCAACCAGACCCCTCCTTACCCGCGAGGCTGTATGTGCATTGGACGCCGCCCGGGGTGCAGTTACTGGAGGAGAGAGAGGAGCTGAGAGCCTGCGAGGGGGGAGGGAAAGGGGGAGGCGCCCGGCCCCGCCCGCCCAGCTCCGCCCCCATCCCACCAGGCCCCGCCCCTCACCAGCTCTGGCAGTTCTCTGCCGTGGGGACCTTGGTACCAACATCGTAGTAGTTCTCGTCGTCATCGTAGCAGCCACACTGGGCCACACACCTCATCTGGTCCTCACTGAAGAACGGCTTGCTGGGCGGACACTTCGGGTAGCAGCCTGGGGCAGGCACGGGGGTGGGGGGGGTGGGGAGACGGCTCACCCTCTTGGGCCAGGGGGTCCATGCTGCCCTGACCTGGGGCTGGGGGGGGGTGCGGTGTGCCGGTGGAAGGGGCCCACACCCCCCTGGCACCCACCCAGCCCCTGACACCCGTGCGATGTCCTGGGGTGATGAGATACAGCCCCCCCGACAGCCTGCCCCTCACCTTCCTGGCCTGGCAGGTCCATCAGGCAGCGTCCACTGGGGTTGCGGCAGGTCCGCAGGCAGGGCGCCCCGCAGGGCTGGTAGTGCCACTCGCACTCCCCGTGGGGGTTGTAGTAGTCGCAGAACAAGGCTGCGCGTGGAGGACCGAGGCTAAGGGCGAGGCCGGCCGCTTGTGCCCTGGATGCCAGGGCAGCGTGGGGCCGGCCCTGCTTGCCCCAGGAGTGGAGGGTCTCCGGGGCCCGGCCCTGGCACTCATTGCGGTTTCCCTTCTCAGCCCTGGACGTGGCATGGAGTCATCCTGTCTGGGGGGGACCTGTCTGCCTGGCTTTTATGGACACGTTGGGGCACACACACGCAGTGCCTGTGGTGCAGCCTGCCTCCTCCCGCCAGCCCGCCCGCCCTTCAGCACCACGGACAGAGCCCGACTCACGGCAGACTTCTGGGGTGCGCCAGGCCACGCACACGCCCGCGTCCCGGCAGGCCTGGGCGTAGGCGGCCACGGCGGTGCAGAAACACTCGCAGTCGCCCCCGGAGTCGCAGGCGCACGCGTCGCTCACGCAGGCCTCGTAGTACTTGGTGGAGTCGACCTGATGGGGGGGGGGGGCGGGCGGAGGGGCCACTCAGCGAGGGGAGTGGATGAGAGGATGTCCCACCCGTTGGGACAGCAGCTCACCTGCCATCTGAGACCGTGCCTGCTGCCTCCGGAGGCTCCCGCCCACTGGCAGCCTCCACTCGTGCCCCTGGGCCCCGCTCTGGCCTCACCCACCCACATCTCTTGCCTCTGACGGGCCTCTCACCTGGGTGCAGACCAGCCCTCCTGACTACGTGGGGACCCTGTCCTGCTGCCTCCCAAACACACTCCCCTCCCAGGCAGCAGAGCCCGGTGGACCCCAGTCTGGTGGACAGCACCACTCGCCGGGGGTGCAGGCCAGGCCCCGAGGGCTTCTGAGCCAGGGTGGGCGGTCGGCACAGGCAGCCTGCCCAGCGCAGACCATTCCGGCCAGGCACCCTCATCACCGGGCAGGTCCCGGATCAGGAGACTGTGAGGTGGGAGGGCACTGGAGTCCTTATCACCAGGAAGGACCTCGGGCAGCTCTGGAGCTGATTCCCCGTCCTCTGTGCCGTGCGCCCGGCGTGGGGCTGACAGGTCAGGGACTGTGGGAGGACGAGGCAGGCAGGTCCTGTATGGCTGGCAGCTCCACTTCCAGGGCAGGAGGCTTCGTGGTCAAGGGGTGCAGTGAGGACGCCCTGTGCTGGGACTGGGCACTCCTCGGTGCCAGCGCCCACCCCGTGGCCAGGCAGTGCTCCGTGTTCAGGGCAAAGAAGACCGTCCTCCAAGGCCCAGCCCAGCCCGATTCCACTCCCACCAGGAGCAAAGGGGGTGGCCCCACCCCCGCCAGCCCTCAGGCCCTGCCCCCAGCCCAGAGCCGCGGCCCTCAGCCCACCTGAGCACGGCAGGCCTGGAAGGTGGCGCTGTTGATGAGGCTGCACTGCCGCTGCGCCCAGGACTTGCGGTAGGGGTTGGCGGTGCAGGGGTCCCGGGGGGCCGGGGCGTCGGGGCAGGTGGGGGAGAGTTTCCAGCTGTTGCCGAACTCCAGGGCGTCGCCCACCACGGACTGGCTGCGTGTGGTGAAGTCGTTGACGGCGTTGTCGTCGAAGTTCCCGCACAGCCCGCAGACCCGCCCCTGCAGACGCAGACGCAGAGGCAGACGAGGGGCGTGTGGCGCTGGGGCTGCAGGGGCAGCCTGGCCTGGGAGGGGGAGTGCAGGGCCCCCGGTTCCCTCAGGCAGCACCCAGCAACCTAGCAGGAGGGCAGTGTGCACAGTGGGTCCTGCAGTGGGTAAGAGGCCAGGCGGGCAGGTGGGCCGGTGGGCAGGTGGACAGGCAGACAGGTGGACAGGTGGGAGGTGATCAGGTGGACAGAGCACAGAGGACAGGTGGGCAGGTGGACAGAGGGGCAGGGGGCAGAGGGACAGAGGGGCAGGTGGACAGAGGGGCAGGGGGCAGAGGGACAGAGGGGCAGGTGGACAGAGGGGCAGGTGGACAGAGGGGCAGGTGGACAGAGGGGCAGAGGGGCAGGTGGACAGAGGGGCAGGTGGACAGAGGGGCAGGTGGACAGAGGGGCAGAGGGGCAGGTGGACAGAGGATCAGGTGGACAGAGGGGCAGAGGGGCAGGGGGCAGGCACCTGCTTCCCCGTAGGACCTCAGCCAGTGGCCATGGAATCGCTGAGCGGAGAGACGGGGAGCGGAGCCACTGTCCACCGGGATCGGGCACACCACTGGTCTGTCTGGCCTCACCCCCCTCTTCGGAACCCCAGCCCTCAGCAGACCCCCAGCTGCTAGCAGGCCCCAGGGCCAGGCTGGGAGGGGGGCTCTGTCCCTGCCTGCGGGTCCCGCAGCCCGCCCGCGCTCACCTTGTGATCCTGGTGCAGCCGGATGAACACGCTGGTCCTCCGGTCCCAGGACACGACCAGGCCGCTGCGGGTCTCGATGGCCAGGTGGGTGCCCATGTACCGGATCCTGTAGGGCAGGTCTGCGCCCGGGCCCCTCTGCACCACCTTGTAGGTGCCCTCGTGGAGGATCAGCTCATAGTTCTGCGAGGGGCACAGGGAGCTGAGTGGCCAGCGCCCACCCCATGGCCAGGGCAGAGGCCCCACGGGCGCTCAGGGGCCCACGGCACGGGGCTGGCATGAAGGCTGAGCTGGGCTCCTGACATGTCCGTGAACTCCTGGCGAGAGGCTGGGCAGGGCGTGGGAAGCTGGGGCCTGGGGCAAGCAGAGGGGGGGTGGGCGAGGGCACAGCGGGGGGCTGCGGGCTGCACCTGGGGCTCCCCCCGAGGCCCTGGTCCTCTTTCAGCACTTTACCCACCACTCCCCCCGCCTCCCGTGCTGCTGCCTCCTGTGCTTCTCTTCGCTGCCCTCGGGGGAACACCCAGCCAGAGCTCCGCTCTCTGCCGGGAAGCGCTGACCTCCCTCTCCTGGAAGGGGCGTCCCCGGGGCAGCGGGCTGAACGGAGGCCCCCAGAGACGTGTCCCTTCCTAAACTCCGAGACCTGGGCATAGGATCTTATTTGGAAAAGGGGTCTTTGCAGATGTGATTAGCTAAAGGATCTCGAGGTGTCCTGGATTGGGGGTGTCCCCGTAAGAGAGGAGTAGGACCCACAGAGAAGCCACGTGATGCCAGAGGCAGAGACAGGAGGGGTGTGGCCACAAGTCGTGAGAGGCGGGGAGGGTGCGCGGGACCCTCCCCTGAGCCTCCTGAAGGGCGTGGCCCGGACACACTCAGAGCCGTGCGGAGATGAACCTCTGGTTTTAAGTGGCCGTGGCCACTTGTGTGGCCATGCCAGGATAGTGCAGCAGGCGGGCCGGGGCTCCCAGGGCTGGGGACCCCACAGGGTGAGCCGTTGGCTGCAGAGGGAGGGAGCGCATCCCTGGCCACCCCTCACCTCCAGGAAGAGCTTGATGGCCTTGGAGCAGGCGACCCCCGTGGTCCCGCAGGGGATGTTCTCGGTGACGATGCGGAAGGTCCCGTTGGTGCCGTTGCCTCCGCAGTAGTCCTGGGACAGGAGAGACGACGGGCGGGTCAGGCCCGGATCCTGGCGGCCTTCGGGGCGGGGCGTGGCAGACGGGGTGGGGGGACCGCATACCTGGGCCAGCGTGTACTCGCAGCTGCCCTCGAAATTGTACCGCTCGCCGTCGAAGGTGATGAAGTGGCCGTCCCCGTAGGCCACGCAGGTGCCCAGGCAGGGCCGGCTGCTGCACTCCCACTTGCGGTTCCGGCAGGTGCTGCAGGGGGCAGAGGTATGTCCTGCTCACGGCCACGGCGGGGACAAGGACGGGGACCCAGCCCTGCCTGCCAGCAGGGGTCGTAGGAAGCAGCTTCTGCAGCTTCTGTAGCCCTGGCACCTGCAGCCCTGGCATCTGCTGAGCAGAGGCCGGCCCGGGCACCTCTCAGGGAGGGAGGGAACACGGGGGGCCTTCCCAGGGGAGGGGCAGGGCCGGCCTCAGCTCCTCTCTGCCTCCTGCCGAGGACCCTGCCCAGGGCCCACTCAGGCTGCGGTCTGTGTGGTCTTTCAGCTGCAGCTCTCGGCCTCCCCCGCACCCCCCTCCAGCCCCACCTCGGAGAGCATGGACCCACCAGGTGTTGCAGTCGACCCTGATGGAGTCCCCAGGCCTGTAGGCGGCGTCGTTGTGCAGACAGGGGCAGTCCTCCTCGGCCACGCAGCCCCCGCTCCCGTCGGACACCAGCCCCGGGGGGCAGACGCAGCCGGACACGCAGTGAGTGCTGAACTGTGGACAGGGCGGTGCGGGTCAGCAGCGCGGCCCCTGCTGTGACCCAGGGATGCCCACCGGGGTCCTCCAGGCCCGGGGGGCACCCCTGCAGGGCAGGGGTGTGGCTGTGCCCTCACGGCGGCTGACTCACACAGTCCACGTCCAGCGTGTGGCAGCTCCGGAGGCACTCGGCGCCCGGCGTGCCCGCCGAGGCGTTGCTGCAGTCCAGGTACACCATGGGGGCCGCGCAGCCTGCAGGAGGAGGGCACGCTGGGGCTGTGCAGCCGGGACCCGCCCCAGGCCCGCAGGAGCCCTTCCGCTTCCTCACAGGTAGGTGCCCTCGCGCGTGGGCAGGAGGGCGGTACCTGTGCTGGTCTGCTCCACGGCGCCCAGGCAGCTCAGCTTCCCACTCGCGCAGGAGCTACGGGGGATGGAGGATGGGTCTGGGCCGCTGCCCACGGACCCGCCCAGGCCCTGGCTGGCAGGGCGCGGGTCCCCGGGCCCGGCCGGAGGTGAGGACCAGGGCCTCTGTGAAGGCCTCCAGCCCGAAAAGGGGTGAGGACACGAGCCAAGGACGGGCCCAGGTGCTGAGGCCGTAGCCCAGCTGGCGAGGGAGCTGCCTCCGGCCGGGAGGGCGTGGGGTCCCCGGGCTGGCCCCTGAGGGGGCACCACCCACCCAGCACCCTCCGAGGACCCTGGGCCCTCAGAACCCCCTCCCGGCCCGGGGAGAGGTCCCCCTTTACCGAAGGGCTGAGGGCTGGGCGGGGAACACGCCCCCAGGGAGCCCCGACCCGGCCAGGCCCGCCCCGCCTCACCACACCACGCCGTGGTCGTGCACCACCTCCCCGGGGGCCACCACGGAGCCGCGGAAGTAGCAGGGACAGGCCTCGGCGGGCACGCAGCTGCCCGCGTCGTCCAGGAAGGTGCCGTCGGGGCAGGTGCAGCCGTCCACGGGCACGAAGGCCACGCCGCAGGTGACGTCAGCCTGGCCCAGGGCGCGGCAGGTGGGCTGGCAGCGGTCCACCACGTCGGCGTAGCGCTGGGACTTAGGGCAGGTGCTCGTGTACTTGGCTGGGGGCGGGGTGGGGACGGCATGACGGTCAGTGGCCGGGACTCAGTTTCCCCTCCGGCAGCGGGGGCAGGGGGCGCACCGGGCCCTGGCTGGGCCCAGGAGGAGGCCCGAGGACATGGGTGGGGGTGCTGCCCGGGGCCCGCACTCACTGCAGACGCCGGCCCTCCAGCCGCGGAGCAGCACGCCCCGGGCGGCGCAGGCGCGGACGTAGGCGGACAGCGCGGCGCACAGGCAGTCCTCGCTCTTCTCGCAGTTGCACGTGTCGAACAGGCAGTTCTGGGCGCGGAGCGTGGGGCGTCAGGGACCCGGCCTGCACCTCGAGCCCCTCCTCCCTGGTCCATCGCCTGGGACCCTGCTCCCTCCCCTGGCCAGCCTGGAGGCCGCCCCGCAAGCAGGGCCCCAGCGCTGCACCCTCCGCGGTGGGCGGGCCGAAGCGTGGGGTCAGCGAGGGCTCTGCCGGGACCTGGGATCGGACAGGGTGGAGGGAGAACCCTGACACAGCAGCGCTGTGTTGGCCGAGGGCCAGAGGAGGGGACGGGGGGCGGGGGGCAGGGCGGAGTCCACAGCTCCCCGAGGGCAGACTCCCCCACCCCCCACAGGAGAGGAGTGCAGTGCATTTGGGGGCTTTGAGCTTCCGGAAATGAGGCCTAGGAGGCAATGGCTGTGGGTTGAGTTGTGTCCCCCCAAAAGGTAGCCCCTGGGGCCTGTGACCGTGACCCTCCTGCAAATAGGGGCTCTGTGGGTGTGAGGAGCACAGGGGCGTCATTGGGGGCCTGAGCCAGGGTGGCGGGTGTCATAGACGAAACTTGCACACAAGCAGGGACAGGCGGCCACGTGACCCCAGATGCAGCCGGAGCAGAGACATGGGGGTGCAGCCACAGCCCAGGACGCTGGGGCCCCAGAAGTGGGGAGTGGGGACGGAGACTCCCCTGGAGTGTCCATGGGAGCTTGGCCCCTGGCACAGGGACCCCGGAAAGGGAGGCTGGGAGAAGCTGCAGGGCAGTCCCGCTCCAGCCCCCGCCCTCCCCGAGAGTGGGGTCCCCCCTGGCAGGGTCTCACCGAGTGGAAGGGTGTGGGGCTGATGACGGAGTGGCAGGGGGAGAAGGCACCGGCCGGGTCGGTGAGCAGGGAGCACCAGTGCCGGGCGTAGTTCTCTGGGCAGAGACATGGGGGTCACCAGGCGGCTGACCACCCCCTCCCTGCACCTGCCCCCCAGTCTCTGCTCCACATGCACGGGCCCTGAACTGGGCTTGGGGCTCACCCACCCGCCGCCTGGGCACTGCTGGCAGGGCAGCGAGATACTCTTCCCAGAGATGGGGTCCCGGCGCCCCACCCTGCTTGCCCAGACCCTGCTGTCTGCACGCATGCCTAGATAGCCGGGTCCCCCAGCCCCACGGCCCCCGAGGCCGGGTGAGACGTGAGGCTTGCTGGGCAGCCGGGCAGCAGCCCGAGGGCCCCCAGGGCGGCGGTACCGTTCTCCACGCTCAGGGCGCAGGGGTCCTCCAAGCTGTTCCTGACGTTGGGGCAGGCGGCCTGGGTCTTCCAGGTGTTGGCGAAGGCGGCGGCCGTGCCCTCCACCACGCCGCTGAGGCTGAGGAAGTCGTCCGCCTGGTTCTGGTTGAAGTTCCCGCAGAGGCCTGGGGCCGGGAGGGTATCAGCCGGCATCCGACCCGGCTGTCCAGCCCGGCCCCTGCTCCCGGCCCGTGCTTTCTCCCACACCATGGCTGGGTTCCAGAACCATCTGCCGATAGGCTGTGGTGGGGGTCGGCGCCTGTGCACAGCCCCACCGCCATCCTCCGAGGCCCCTCCCTGCTCGCTGCCTCCCGGTCCCCACCGCCTGCCCCCTCCCTCCCGGCTCGGCCCGCTCACCGCACATCTGGCCTCGGTAGGCGGGGTCCAGCCTGAGGACCAGCTGCATGAGGGGCACCAGCTGCACCTCCAGCTGCAGCCCGAGGCCCGTCTGCACCAGGATGAAGAAGGTCGAGGGCCGGAATATGGTGATGTTGGCTGTGGGGGGTGGCGGTGTGGTCAGAGGCTGCCCGGGGGCCAGGCCCCGCCACGCTCACCCCCAGTGCCCAAGCCTCCTGCTCCCGGGACGGCCCGGGAGGCGGACACGGGCTCAGACAGGCGTCTGGTGGACCGACACCCCCTGCGGTCCAGGAGCCGGGCCGGAGCTCACATGCCCGCGTGGGGCGGGACCACGGACACCCTGAGAGGCCGGGGTCCCCGCAGCAGCCACCGGCGGGACCACGGAGACCTCACTCTGTCCGTGACAACCACCCCGGGCATGTTCTGGACCTGCCCGCAGCCAGAGAGCCCGAGCAGGGCCGGGCGTGTCCGGGCCGTACCTGCGGACACGGGCAGCTGGGTGTAGATGGAGTTCATGAACACCCCGCCACTGGCCTGGATCTGGATGACCTGTGGGGGGAGGGGAGAGGAGGGGCCGGTCAGGCTGGGGCGGAGCCACCGGAGCCTGGACGCTCTAGGACAGCCCAGCAGGGTAGCTGCCCGGGACCGCGGGGCTCAGGGAGGGCGTTGGAGCCTGCTCCCCCCCGCCCCCCCGCCCCCCCACTCATCCCGGTCGTAGGTGACGGGGCAGCACCCTCACCGTGTCCCCGCCGTCCATGCTCAGGGTCACCGTCTTGAGGCAGTTCTCGTTGTCTGTCAGGCCGCACTTCCGCAGCTCGGCCAGCACCGTGAAGCCGCTGTCTGCACATTTCTAAGGGCAAAGCAGGGCATGTGTGTGCCTGCCTGTGTGTGCAATGCACATGTGTATGCGTGCACCAATGTGCACGCGTGTGTGGGCATGTGTGGCGCGTGTGTCTGAGTGTGCGTGTGTCTCTGAGTTTGGGTGTATCTCTGAGTGTGCGTGTGTCTCTGAGTGTGCGTGTGTCCCTGTGTATGCGTTGTGGGCTTGTGTGGCGCATGTGTCTCTGAGTATGTGTGTGTCTCTGAGTATGCGTGTGTCTCTGTGTATGCGTGTGTCCCTGTGTATGCGTGTGTCTCTGTGTATGCGTGTCTCTGAGTATGCGTGTGTCTCTGTGTATGCGTGTGTCCCTGTGTATGCATGTGTCTCTGTGTATGCGTGTCTCTGAGTATGTGTGTGTCTCCGTGTATGCATGTGTCTCTGAGTATGCGTGTGTCTCTGTGTATGCATGTGTCTCTGAGTTGCGTGTGTTTCTGTGTATGCGTGTGTCTCTGAGTATGCGTGTGTCTCTGTGTATGTGTGTGTCTCTGTGTATGCATGTGTCTCTGAGTATGCGTGTGTCTCCGTGTATGCATGTGTCTCTGAGTATGCGTGTGTCTCTGTGTATGCGTGTGTCTCTGTGTATGCATGTGTCTCTGAGTTGAGTGTGTCTCTGTGTATGCATGTGTCTCTGTGTATGCATGTGTCTCTGAGTTGCGTGTGTTTCTGTGTATGTGTGTGTCTCTGAGTATGCGTGTGTCTCTGTGTATGTGTGTGTCTCTGTGTATGTGTGTGTCTCTGTGTATGCGTGTGTCTCTGAGTATGCATGTGTCTCTGTGTATGCGGGTGTCTCTGTGTATGCATGTGTCTCTGTGTATGTGTGTGTCTCTGAGTATGCGTGTGTCTCTGTGTATGCGTGTGTCTCTGTGTATGCATGTGTCTCTGTGTATGCGGGTGTCTCTGAGTATGCGTGTGTCTCTGTGTATGCGTGTGTCTCTGTGTATGCGGGTGTCTCTGTGTATGTGTGTGTCTCTGTGTATGCGTGTGTCTCTGTGTATGCGGGTGTCTCTGTGTATGTGTGTGTCTCTGTGTATGCGTGTGTCTCTGTGTATGCGTGTGTCACGCCCTGTGCCCAGGCTGCCATGCAGGCTGCAGGTGGGCGGTGGCTCTCAGTGGCCTCTGGCACCTGCAGTCACCTCCAGGGAGCGTGTCTCGGGGTCTGGGCGCCCCTCTGCCCCTGTGGGTGTGTGGATGGGACCCAGGAGGGGCCGGGGGGCGGGGAGGGCTGGGGGCCGGGGCCAGCCGCACCTTGGACAGGACGTAGCTGCAGTCGCCGTGCATGCCGTAGAGTTTCTCGTCGTAGGTGGAGATGTGGGAGCCGCCCTGGACGGAGCAGGTGCCCGGGCACGGGAGCTCCTGGCACTGCCACAGTCCCCCCAAGCAGGTGCTGCGGAGGCGAGGAGCAGAGCGGCTGGGTGAGGGGGGGTGCACCCACCCCCCGCGCCGCCCCCCTGGCGGGATAGGGTGGGGGCCTACCAGGAGCTGCAGCTGGTGGTGAAGGAGGCCCCCGGGGCGTAGGTGCGGCCGCTGTGGGTGCAGGGGCAGCGCTGCAGGGGCAGGCAGCCGGTGTGGGTGACGTCATCGAGCACTGTGCCTGCAGAGGGGTGAGCGGGTCAGCGGGGGCGGGGGGCACCGTGAAGGAGGCAGCCCCGGGATGGGCGGAGGGTCCGGGCTGGGGGCCCGTCCCCGAGGGCCAGGAGGACCTGCCTGGGGGGCAGAAGCAGCCGTCCACGCAGTGGTCCTCGCAGAGCTGGGCGCGGTCGGGGTTGGAGCAGGTGTCCGCGCAGGGCGAGCCGCACTCCTGGTGCTGCATGTTGAGGGGGCACGTCCGGGCTGTGGGGAGGGCACAGTGCTTGGCACCCCGGCGGCTCGATGGGCAGACGGGCCGTCTCCACTCCCACTTTCCCTGTGTCCCCAAGGGTCCCCCAAACCACACCTGGGCTCGGAAGCCCCTGGTCTCGGAGCCTTGGGCCTGCTTGTCTGACCCCCCCGCCAGCTGCCTCCTGTGCCGAGGCCGGTCCTCGCTCTGGGTCCCCCGCCCCGGGCCTGCCATGTTCCCCTCTGCTCGCCTGCCCTCCTGTCTGTGGGCCCCCGAGTGGCTCCACCTTCCCGAGGCCGCCCCCCCAGGTGGCCCCCGGGGTCTCCCTGGTCACCCCCTCCCCAGGGACTCCGCGAGGGTGACGGGCACTCACGGCAGAGGTCGGGGCCCCTCCAGTTCTGAGGCTGCCCCCCCGCGTGGGCGCACTGGCGGGAGTACTCCGCGAAGGTGGCGCACGGGCAGGTGGGGCAGCGGCACAGGTCCTGGGCGCAGGCGGCCACGTACTCGTCGGCGGCCACCAGCCCGTTGCACTGGGCGAAGGCCGGGCCCAGCAGGGTGCGGCGGCAGAGGTCCTCCTGGGAGCACAGCACCGGCTCATGGCCTCTGGGCGGGACTGAGTGGGGCTCCCTCTTCCCGGGGGTTCCTTCCCTCCCCCGCCCCCCAGCCTCCTGCTCAGACATTGAACCTGCCCCCCCGCCCAGGGAGGGCTCTGCTGGGCTCTGGGAGGGACACCCACCCTGTGCCCCCACCCAGGAAAGGGGCAGACCCTGCCCCTGGAGGCGGCTCCAACAAGGGGGGTGGGGCCCGTCCACCCTGGAGCAGCCCATGGAGGAACTTCCTCCTCCCCCCCCACCCCCGGCCGCAGCCTGACCAGCAAGCTGGGGGAGCTGCCACTCCGAGCCCTGATTTAAGGCTGGGGGTTCTGCTGGTTGAGGGGGGTCCAGAGCTTTCAGACGGGGTCCTCCCAGCTCATCAGCAGGGCTCCCGGGGGCCCCCACCCTTGGCAGGACTGTGGGGTGTGTGTGTATCTCTACACGCAGGTGGGCACACACTCACACAGGGCCACATGCACTCTCAGGTGTGTGCGGGGGGGAAGTGTGTGGGTGCAGCGGGTGCACCTCCAAAGTGGAGGCAGAGTCCTCGGCTGCCCCGGCTCTAGGAGGCCCTCGTCACCTGGACACCAAGGTCCCAACCCAGGAAGCCTGCGCCACCCCCCCGCCCCCCCGCCTTCTGCACACTCTGGGCAGGGCTCACCGCGTCCGTGCAGTTGTCGGCCGGGCCGGGCTGGGGGTCCTGGCACTGCTCCGTGGGCCCGTCCAGCTTCTGCAGGTTCCCGAACTGCAGAGGTGTCAGCCTGGCGTCTGGGGGAGGGCTCTGTGTGGGCTGCGCAGGGCCAGCTGCCCAGCCCAGAACCGCCCCCCCCCCCGCTTCCTGTCCGGGGTCCCGAGGGCCACAGCCCCCCACCCGCCTGCCCAGCCCCCGCTGGCCACCCGCACGCCCTGACCCGGCGGCACGCACTGTGGGCGTAGAACTCGTTCACGGCCGGGAGCCCGTTGAAGTCCCCACAGAGGCCACACGTCTGGTTGGCGTACTTGGGGTCCAGCTCCAGCTGGGGGCGGGAGGGGCAGCTCTAGCTCTGCAGCCCGCAGCCCGGCAGGGCCCCTGCTGACCCCCGGCCCCCCCATCCCCCGGGGACTCCCACAGCCGGGGCGGGAGGGGCGGGCCTCTCACCAGGGCGCTGTCCTCGCCGTTCCACATGAAGGTGAGCACCAGCCGGACGCTGACCTTGACGTAGTCGCTGCTCTGCTCCACCAGCAGCCCCGCCCGGCTGAAGGGCAGCTCCTCCCTGGGGCGAGAGTTCTGGTCCTCCCACCGCCCTGGGTTCGGGGAAGGTCCAGGGCCCTCCCCGTAGCCGCCCCCCCCCCCCAGCCCACGGGGGTCTAACCCTCCCGCCACGCGGGGCTCACCGCCGCCCGTCGATGAGGACGGAGCCGTTGGACACCTCCAGCACCAGCCCCTGGGCCTTGAGGACCACGTGGGTGATGGTGGGCCTGGAGCCGGCCAGGCCGCGGCGCAGCTGGACGTTGAAGTCCTCGTAGGCGGCCCCGCAGTGCGCCGAGAAGACGTAGTTGCAGCGGCCGGGGAAGCGGAACACGTCGCCGTCGAAGGTCTTGTAGTGGAAGTCGCCCCACGTGCTGCAGACCCGCCCGTTGTGCGCCGGGTTCAGGGCTGAGGGAGAGCGTGGTGGAGGCCCCGCTGGACGCCACGCCTGCGCCCGGCTCCCCGGGGGAGGCACGCAGTTCGGGAGTGGGGAGCCGAGAGGTGGCCCCCCTCTCACCACAGCACTGCCTCCCTCCCCTCAGCACCTGTGACTCCCGACCCCGGCGCCTGCCCAGCACCCGGGGCCGCCCGGGAGAGCTGTCTGCGGACAGGCTCCCCGCTGTGCCCACGGCCGCCCAGCTGCCCCTCAGCCCCAGCTCTACCCCCGATTCGTGACCCCAGGACCGGCAAACACCCGCCCCCAGCAGTGGGCGCATCCACTCACGGCTCATGGTAGGGAGGACGGTGATGGGCGGGAGGAAGATCGTGCGCTGGGCTGCGGAGTGAGGGCAGGGCACTCAGGGGACATGGCCAGGCAGCCACGCCCCTTCCCGGGACCCCACCCTCCTCACTGCCACCCTGGGGAGTGGGAGCCTCAGGCCAGCCCTGACCCACCCCAGGGAGCCCGGACTGATGGCTGCCCCTGCTGGACCCTCCCTGCCGCCCGAGACAGGCTGAGACAGGCTTCCACTCGGGGCTTTTGTGTGAGCGCATGCATGTGTGAGGGTGTGTGCCGGTGTGTGCGTGCATGTACGAATGTGTGCACGTATGTGTGAGTGTGCGGACATGTGTGAGTGTGTGTGCATGTGTGAGGGTGTGTGCCGGTGTGTGCGTGCATGTACGAATGTGTGCACGTATGTGCGAGTGTGCGGACATGTGTGAGTGTGTGTGCATGTGTGAGGGTGTGTGCCGGTGTGTGCGTGCATGTACGAATGTGTGCACGTATGTGTGAGTGTGCGGACATGTGTGAGTGTGTGCATGTGTGAGGGTGTGTGCCGGTGTGTGCGTGCATGTATGAATGTGTGCACGTATGTGTGAGTGTGCGGACATGTGTGAGTGTGTGTGCATGTGTGTGCGTGTGTGAGGGTGTGTGCCGGTGTGTGCGTGCATGTACGAATGTGTGCACGTATGTGTGAGTGTGCGGACATGTGTGAGTGTGTGCATGTGTGAGGGTGTGTGCCGGTGTGTGCGTGCATGTACGAATGTGTGCACGTATGTGTGAGTGTGCGGACATGTGTGAGTGTGTGCATGTGTGAGGGTGTGTGCCGGTGTGTGCGTGCATGTACGAATGTGTGCACGTATGTGTGAGTGTGCGGACATGTGTGAGTGTGTGTGCATGTGTGTGCGTGTGTGAGGGTGTGTGCCGGTGTGTGCGTGCATGTACGAATGTGTGCACGTATGTGTGAGTGTGCGGACATGTGTGAGTGTGTGCATGTGTGAGGGTGTGTGCCGGTGTGTGCATGCATGTACGAATGTGTGCACGTATGTGTGAGTGTGTGGACATATGTGAGTGTGTGCATGTGTGGGTGTGTATATGTGTCTGCATGTGTGAGTACGCACATTAGGTGAATGTGTGCACGTATGTGTGAGTGTGCGGACATGTGTGAGTGTGTGTGCCGGTGTGTGCATGCATGTACGAATGTGTGCACGTATGTGTGAGTGTGCGGACATGTGTGAGTGTGTGTGCATGTGTGAGGGTGTGTGCCGGTGTGTGCGTGCATGTACGAATGTGTGCACGTATGTGTGAGTGTGCGGACATGTGTGAGCGCATGCATGTGTGAGGGTGTGTGCCGGTGTGTGCGTGCATGTACGAATGTGTGCACGTATGTGTGAGTGTGCGGACATGTGTGAGTGTGTGCATGTGTGAGGGTGTGTGCCGGTGTGTGCGTGCATGTATGAATGTGTGCACGTATGTGTGAGTGTGCGGACATGTGTGAGTGTGTGTGCATGTGTGTGCGTGTGTGAGGGTGTGTGCCGGTGTGTGCGTGCATGTACGAATGTGTGCACGTATGTGTGAGTGTGCGGACATGTGTGAGTGTGTGCATGTGTGAGGGTGTGTGCCGGTGTGTGCGTGCATGTACGAATGTGTGCACGTATGTGTGAGTGTGTGGACATGTGTGAGTGTGTGCATGTGTGAGGGTGTGTGCCGGTGTGTGCGTGCATGTACGAATGTGTGCACGTATGTGTGAGTGTGCGGACATGTGTGAGTGTGTGTGCATGTGTGTGCGTGTGTGAGGGTGTGTGCCGGTGTGTGCGTGCATGTACGAATGTGTGCACGTATGTGTGAGTGTGCGGACATGTGTGAGTGTGTGCATGTGTGAGGGTGTGTGCCGGTGTGTGCATGCATGTACGAATGTGTGCACGTATGTGTGAGTGTGTGGACATATGTGAGTGTGTGCATGTGTGGGTGTGTATATGTGTCTGCATGTGTGAGTACGCACATTAGGTGAATGTGTGCACGTATGTGTGAGTGTGCGGACATGTGTGAGTGTGTGTGCCGGTGTGTGCATGCATGTACGAATGTGTGCACGTATGTGTGAGTGTGCGGACATGTGTGAGTGTGTGTGCATGTGTGAGGGTGTGTGCCGGTGTGTGCGTGCATGTACGAATGTGTGCACGTATGTGTGAGTGTGCGGACATGTGTGAGCGCATGCATGTGTGAGGGTGTGTGCCGGTGTGTGCGTGCATGTACGAATGTGTGCACGTATGTGCGAGTGTGCGGACATGTGTGAGTGTGTGTGCATGTGTGAGGGTGTGTGCCGGTGTGTGCATGCATGTACGAATGTGTGCACGTATGTGTGAGTGTGTGGACATATGTGAGTGTGTGCATGTGTGGGTGTGTATATGTGTCTGCATGTGTGAGTACGCACATTAGGTGAATGTGTGCACGTATGTGTGAGTGTGCGGACATGTGTGAGTGTGTGTGCATGTGTGAGGGTGTGTGCCGGTGTGTGCATGCATGTATGAATGTGTGCACGTATGTGTGAGTGTGTGGACATATGTGAGTGTGTGCATGTGTGGGTGTGTATATGTGTCTATGCACGTGTGAGTACGCACATTAGGTGAATGTGTGCACGTATGTGTGAGTGTGCGGACATGTGTGAGTGTGTGTGCCGGTGTGTGCATGCATGTACGAATGTGTGCACGTATGTGTGAGTGTGCGGACATGTGTGAGTGTGTGTGCATGTGTGAGGGTGTGTGCCGGTGTGTGCGTGCATGTACGAATGTGTGCACGTATGTGTGAGTGTGCGGACATGTGTGAGTGTGTGCATGTGTGGGTGTGTATATGTGTCTGCATGTGTGAGTACGCACATTAGGTGAATATGTGCACGTATGTGTGAGTGTGCGGACATGTGTGAGTGTGTGCATGTGTGGGTGTGTATATGTGTCTATGCACGTGTGAGTACGCACATTAGGTGAATATGTGTGTGCATGTGTGAGTGTGTGGACGTGTGTGTGCCTATTGTGTGTGGACATGTGTTGCACACTGTGTGAGTGCATGTGAGTACATGAATGTGTGAGTTGTGCATCTGTGTGCATGCATGGGCATGTATGAATGTGTGCGCGCATGTGTGAGTGTGTGGACATGTGTGCACACTGTGTGTGTGTGAGTGTGAGCATTTGCGTGTCTCCTTTGCTTGCGCCTTCGTGTCCTGGCTTCTAACTCAGCCCCTGCACACCCTGCTCCCTGGCAGATGGACTCCGGGAAGGTCTGTGCGTCACATGCGGATGGAGACAGGGGTCCGGCCCCCACCCGGCCCTTCCGCCCGCTGGGCCGCGTACCAGTGTCCATCCTCCGACTGCCCTTGGCTGCCTCTGTGTCTGCCCAGCTCGCCCCTGCGCTGCCCTGGGGCTCTGTGGGGACAGGATGGAGTCAGTGGGGACCGGACACGCCACCCCCCCCTTGGCGGCCTGTTTGGGTGTCGAGGGGTGCAGGGTGGCGGCCACAGGAGCAGGCTCTGGCCTCCGGTCACTCGGGGACAGAAAGCGGAGCCTCCGCTGGGGGGTCCCGGCAGGGGCTGCACCTCTGGCGCCTGTGCTGCCCCCGCCCTCCGGCTACGGGCCTAGGAGCTGTGACAAGGCAGGAGAATGGAATCAGGAAAAGGCGGCGGCCCCGCTGGCCCCGGCCACCCCAGGAGAGGGCTCGCCACCCCAGGTCCCTCAGAGAAGGACAAAGACGGGCTTTGTTGGGGGAGGACACCAGAGCCCGGGAGGTTCCCAGGCATGACTTAGCAGAAACCCAAAACCCAAGACCAGAACCCAAGCGGCAGGCATGGCAGGTGGGCACCAGGAGCCCCGGCACTGGGTGGCCGAGGTCGCCCGAGTCCGCCTCCTCCGGGCAGCCCCCCGCCTGCCTGACCAGGGCCTCTCTGCTGGGCTCAGGTGGGGCGCCCTGCACGTGGCCCAGGACTCCTTCCCCGCGTCTGCCAGGGGTCCCACTCTGGGACCCAGACTGTGCTTTGTGGGGGGTGCAGTGTGGGGCCCCTGATGTCCCCCGTGGGGCCTGAGCCCGGCGAGGGGCACCGGGGCAGCCGTCACGCCTGGGCTGCTTCCTGCTGGACCTGCCCGGCCAGACCACCGACACTTGGGACGAGGGACGGGCCCTGTGGTCACCTTCCCTCTCCAGGGCCTGCTTCCCGGGAGGTGGCTGCTCCCTCTGCCTGTCCGTCTGTCCACCCCTGACCCCAGACCTGCAGCCCCACCTCCCTGTCCCTGGCCCCAGGCCCCAGGCCCCAGGCCCCAGGCCCCGTGGAGAGAACGCAGGTCACAGGGCACCTCCTCTGGGGCCCGGCCCGGCTTCCAGAGAACGGGCTCCAGACAGGGCCCTCCTTGGGCGGGGGAACCGGCTGGTGCGCCTGGGTCTCCGTCACTCACCAGGGAAATGCCCGCCGCCAACCCCTCCTCCCAGCAATCTGGGTGCACATGCCCCTCACTCGGGGCCCGCCCTCCCCCACCCCTAACGGGCCTTCAGCCCAGAGGCCCCCGATAGTCATGCCGCCCACAGAAGGATTCGGCCCTAAGAAGAAGGAAGTGGGTGGAGGGTGGGGTGCACTCACCGCAGGCCCCCCTCAGGTGCAGGGCCCGGGGAGCCCCGAGGAACCTGCTGAGTGGGGACCTGGCTGTGCAAACCGCAACCGAAAGGAGCCGGGGCCAGGCGTGTGCCCCAGGCCTCCCCAAGGAAGGGGCTGGGCCAGGGGCTCAGGGAGAGGCCGCCACCCGAACCCGAACCCAAACCCTGCCCCTGCCCCGAGGTCCGGGCGAGGCAGGTGGGGACGGCTCAGTGCTGAGCGCAGGAGGCCGGCGTCTGGTGTCACCTGGCAGCCCTGCGGCTGCATCTTTTTTGTTGACAGTAAGTATTAAGGCCCCTGCTACCGAGCTGCCAGGGACGGCGGGGCCCCGGGCGGAGGAGGCCCCAGGGCGAGGAGGCTGAGAGAGGCCGAGCCGCCGGGCGGGGTGGGGTTCAGACGTGGCCCCTGCTGCTGGGCCCGCCGCCCCCTGCAGCCCTGCTTCGAGGGGGCATTTCACAGCCGCTGGGCTGCCCGAGCTGTCACCGGCTGGCCTCGCGGGGGAAGGAGATGCACCCGTCTGTCTGGGCAGGGACGGGTTTCCCCGGGGACCCAGTGTCCCCTGGACACGCCCGGTGGGGTCCCACCTGTCCGTTCTCCGCAGGAAGCCCCAGGCGAGGGGCGTGGAGGCCCCGCCGTGAGGGTGGGTGAGGATCCACTCACCTGCCTTCGGCACCCAGAGCAGGGCCAGGAGGGCCCAGGCCAGCGCCCGACACCCGCTGGGGTCACCCATCTGGGGACTGCGGGCAGGCGGTGGCGAGGAGGGAGTGGGCAAGGCGCTCGCTCCCCTGGGGGCCGCGGGCCTTATGTAGCCGGAGGCCTTGGCGCTGTGCCTGGGGGCACTGCCCTCTCCCCCCCCCCCCCGCCCGCCCCCGCGTCAGCCTCGGTGTTTGCTCTCGGGGAGGGGCCGGAGCAGGAAGGTGGTGCGAGGAGGAAGGAGCCTTGGCCCTGGGGCCCGAGAGGCAGGACCCCCGCCCCAGCGCCTCTGGGAATCCGCAGGGAGAGGGGTGCTGGCGGCCCCTCCAGACGGCGCAGCCCCCGCAGGAGGGCACCTCGGGGTCCTCCCTGGCTGCAGCCCCCGCCTCCCTCCATAGGGTTGGGGGTTCAGCTCCACGTTGAGCCCTGGGAGCCTGGGGGAGGCCGAGAGGTGGGCCTGGGGGGACAGCGCACCCCCCGTCCTGTCCGAGGAGTGGGGAGGGGCTGTGAGGCAGAGGGCAGTGCTGCTGGCCGGCAGGCGGCCCGGGTCCCTGTGCAGCTGCAGGTGGGTTGGCCGGCGGTGGAGGCCGGCACCTGGCCTGTGGCGTGGGGGTGCTAGGAGGCGGCTCTGTGCCCCTTGCAAGTCCCTGGGCTCCTCTTTGTCATCAAGTTCCACGTCCAGGGGAGACGGGGCCTCGGGGATGGACACTGACTCAGTGGCCCCTGCCCGGCGCCCCTGGTCACGGCCCGGCAGAGGCTCCCAGTGGGGGGGCCCGGGGACCCCACCTCCCTCCTGAGGCTGCTTGTTAACAGGGGGTCCTGGACCCGCCTGGGCCGGCCCACGGCAGGCCATGCAGGACCAATGTGCCCCAGGAGGCCCGGAGGCCCCCAATAGTCATGCCTCCCACGGAGGGATTCGCCCCTGAGAAGAAGGAAGTGGGTGGAGGGTGGGGTGCACTCCACCTGGTTCATAGGTGGATGCTCAGCCCCAGAGCTGTACCAGCTGGGCTAAAATTTATTAAACTGTTTTTTTGGAGCATAAGCTGCAGTTTCTCATGAATCCCTCCGTGGGGGGCATGACTATTGGGGGCCCTCGGGGCCGATGGGTCACCTCAGCAGGGACCGGGGTGACCTCAGCAGGGAGAGGGGTGCTGGCGGCCCCTTCAGATGGCGCAGCCCCCGCAGAAGGGCACCTCGGGGTCCCCCCTGGCTGCAGCCCCCGCCTCCCTCCATAGGGTTGGGGGTTCAGCTCCACGTCGAGCCCTGGGAGCCTGGGGGAGGCTGAGAGGTGGGCCTGGGGGGGACAGCGCACCCCCTGTCCTGTCCAAGTGGGACCGACTGGCGGGCCGGGCTTCGGGGCCACCTGGTCACCAACACCCCAGCTCTCACTCTGGCTCATCCAGTGTCCTCGCCCCAAACTTGACAACATCCCTGGTCCCTGGGAAGGGATTCGGGGAGCACAGGGCCCTCCTATGAGCAGCCCCGGCACCTGGGTCTGAGGCCCGAGTGTTCGTTAGGTTTCGTGTCCATCTCCGTCCCTCCCTGCCCCCACCCCCGCCCAGCAGGCGGGCGCTGGCACCCAGGGGCACGGGGACCCAGCGGGTCCCCCCTGAGCACCGTCCGGAGAGTGCGGGCTCAGGGTCCAGCGATTGAGACATCCCGGATGCCCGGCCCAGCCTGTTTGCTCAGCGAGTTTACCCCTTCACAGTTGAGGGAGCCGAGAACAGAGGCGAGAGGAACCGCGGCCGCTGGGAACGAGGCCGGGCCAGCGGCTCTGCGGCTCGCGAGGCTCCGCGGACGTGCCAGGAACCGCCCGCCCGGCACGCCCTGCTCCTGAGTCCGGGGGCGGCGGGACGCGGTCTCACTGGCCAGCAGAGCCCGGAGGTGAAGTGACCCCAGGCCGTGAATAAAGACCCCCCAGCCCAGGCCTCAGCCCCCCAACTGCCCGCTGCCCCCCACCAGGGAGCAGACTGCAGACGCGGTCCCTGGATGCGGGGGTCTGGGGCATTTGCTGAGCGCTGGCTGGGTGCCCGGCTGTCCTTGGGCACCAGGCAGGCGCCGGGAGGATGGGCACAGCTCTGGGAGCCACAGGCCTGGCTGCAGGTCCGCTCGGAGCCCCCCTGCGCTGCTCTGGGGGTGCTGCCTCCTGCTCCCCAGAGGGCTGCATGGACACCGGGTGGCCATGGGGGTCTGGCAGCCCTGGTCTGTCTCCCAAGGGGCCCACATTCCCAGTGAGCTGAGGGGCCCGGTGGTGTGACCCGTGGGCCGTGAGCCAGGGCTGGGGGGTCCCAGCAGGGCGGGGGGGGGGGGGTGACCCAGCCCCAGCGTCTTCCGAGTCTTCCTGGTTTCCACAAAGATCCCTCCCCTGGCCGGTGGCCCTTGCCTCCCCCTCCGTCTCTCCCTCCCTTCTTCCTTCTTCCTTCCAGCAAATTGTGCTGAGCCCAGAGGCGGGGGGGCGGGGGCTGCCCTGGGCACTGGGGTCCGCGGGACAGGAGAGCCAGGTCCTGCTCCACGGAGCTCACGATGCGCAGCCACCACCGTGAGGGCGGCAGGAGGCACCTGGGAGGGACCCGGAGAGGATGGCGGCTGGGGGCGGGGTGACAGCTGCGCCGAGGGGAGGGCACGGGGGGGGGGGGGAGGCAGCGCCTGCAAGTTAGGGGGCAGCTCCCCCAGGGAGGGGACAGCAGGCACAGGGCGCTGGGCAGGGACGACCAGGCCCATTGGAGGGTCTGAAGGCCCTGGTGCGGCTGGGACTGGCGCATGGGGAGGAGGCGGAGCCGAGATGGGGCGGGCTCGGTCAGGTGTGGGGGGGCTTGGGCTTACTCTGAATTTGGGGGGCATGGGAGCTCTTACTAGTAGAGCAGGGAAACCATAGGAAATGATTTTTTTGTAGTAAAATGAACGTGACAAAATTCGCCATTTCACCCACGTTTAAGTGTACGTTAGCGGCGCCAATACGTTCGTGGTGTTTACGGCTTCCGCCCCCGTCCACCTGTAGGACGCTGTTATCCTCCAAACCGAGAATCCATGACACACAAGCTCCCCCCGCCCCCCCCCGCCCCCCGCCGTCCTCACCACCGTCTATGGCAGGGGTCCTCAAACTCCGGCCCGCGGGCCACGTGCAAATACAAATATTGTGTTTGTTCCCGTTTTGTTTTTTTACTTCAAAATAAGATCTGTGCAGTGTGCATAGGAATTTGTTCGTAGTTTTTTTTAAACTATAGTCCGGCCCTCCACCGGTCTGAGGGACAGTGAACGGGCCCCCTGTTTAAAAAGTCTGAGGACCCCTGGGCTATGGAGCTGCCGCCCCTGGGACCTCCTGGGAGGGGGTCACACCGTGTTTGAACTTCTTCCCTCAGCACAGTGTCCTCAAGATTCAGCCATGTTGTAGCGGGTGTCAGCATTCCCTGTCCTTTTTTTTTTTTTTTTTAAAAAGTATTTTTATTGATGTCAGAGAGGAGGGGAGAGGGAGAGAGAGAGAAACATCAGTGATGAGAGAGAGTCATGGATCGGCTGCCTCCTGCACGCCCCACACTGGAAATCAAGCCCGCAACCCGGGCATGTGCCCTGACCGGGACTCGAACCCTGACCTCCTGGATCATAGGTGGATGCTCAGCCCCAGAGCCGTACCAGCCGGGGTTAAATTTATTAAACTGTTTTTTTTTGGAGCGTAAGCTGCAGTTTCTCATGAAGAATGTCTCTTGTGCCCCTGAGAAGCATGTGTGTTCTGTGCTGTTAGGTGGCGTGCTCTGTAGATACAGGTTAGGTACCAGGTATAACTGGTTTATAATGTTGTTCACATCCTCCATTTCTGTTAGTCTTCTGTCTGGTGGTTCCATTCGTTACTAGAAGTGTGGTGTCCAAATCTCCAGCGATGGCTTCAGAACAGTCATCTTTCACTGTAATTCTGCCGCTGTCTTCTTAATGTATGTGGGGGCTATCTTGTTTGACGCATATAAGGTTTAAAATGGTCGTATTTTCCTGTTGCATTGACTCTCGATCAGTAAATAACATCCTTCTTCGTCCCTTGTTACCTGTTTAAACTTAGAGTTTCTTTCGGCCGGTCGCTGGGTTCCTATTTCTAGGAACGTCCTTTCCCGACCTGCTACTTTGAACCTGTAGGTCTCTCGTTCTCTTGTGCAGACAGCTCAGGGCCGGGTTACGTTCTTCTTCACCGAGCCTGCCCATCGCTGCCCTTGGACGGAGGTTTCTTACTTAGGTTTAAAGTCGCTGCTGGTGAGGACGGGCCTGCCCCTGCCGTCGCCCTACCGGCTCCTGTGTGTCGCCTGGCCCTGTTCCTCGTTTACCCGGTCACTGCCTTCTTTTGTGTTTAGTTGACGTCGTGTAGCAACAGATCTTGATGTTCTTCACATTCCCTTGTGTGTGTCGTACAGACGTTTTCTCTGTGGTGATCATGAGCTGACATATAACGCCCTAAAGTTAGAACAGTCTAGTTTGGATGGACACCCACTTAACTTCGGTGGCATACAAAAACTCCAATCCCCTCGTGTTGCTGTAAAAAATGACAGATTCACACCCGTGTTCCCAATGACATAGACTTACAATTATTTGCATGCGTTCGTTTTTAAATCAGGTAGCAAATAAAAAGTGGAGTTACAACCAGAAATTACAATGACAGTGGCTTTTATATTTGCCCACATATTCAGCTTTATCGGAAATTTGTTTCTTCGTGTAGCCTTAATTTACTGCCTAGTGATCATTTATTTCAACCTGAAGGACTTTTTAAGGCATGTCTCCTAGAGTAGGTCCAGCAAGAATAAACTCCCTCAAATTTTGTTTATCTGGAAATGCCTTCATTTCTCTCTCATTTTTGAAGGAAAGTTTTGCCAGATACAGAATTCTTTGTTAACTGGGTGTTTTTTTTTCCTTTCAATACTTCACATAGTGAAGGCCGTCCCCAGCCTTTCTGCATTCCAAGGATTCTAACCATAAATTGGCTAATAATCATACCGAGGATGTCCTGTCAGCGACGCATAGCTTCTCTCTTGGTGTTTTTACGATTTCCACATTGGCTCT